AACGACACGATGCAGATGACAAGGGTGTTGGATACGAGGACGGGCCATGTGTCTTCGACCTTGGCGGATTAGCGCCTAAATGTTTCGTCCTGACTGCACGGAATCCCACGCATATGTACTCGGTACAATACATAAGTAAAAGTTCTGGCTAGTGTCAGCCTTTTATCCGGGTACTTGTTGAAGTACCGGACCGGGAAAGGTTCTTGTTTTGGGTTATATACTAAAGCAGTAAGCTTGCGAACTGCCGTGGTTCCCAAAGGGCGCAAGGGTGCCATGGCCTCGGATAGAGACCCTTCCAAACTGGGTCTTCCAGAGTGGGATGGAGCCAAGAATACAAAGCCCATGTCCTGTGCGTATCCGCAACTCATCATCGAGCGGAGGCGATTGTTAGAGAGAGCCTCGCAGGCTCCAGTTCGTCGCCGGGAGGGGGCAACACCAACCATTCGCTGTCGATGAAGTGTGGCAAGCCCCGGGGAGAATGCCCACCATGTGTTGCAACTTGCAAGATCAACCGCCCTCTTTCGGCTTCACACGTGTCGACTACATGACTAGGCAGCATGAGAAGGTGCGAGGCTGGCCCGGGAATGCGGTACGAGCTCCAAAATCCAAAATTCGGGGTAAGGGAGTGGGATATCTCCCTTCTCAATGGGTCTCCTCGGACTGTGAGTACAATACCTAGGTACCTCGTCCCTGGGAGACAAGAACTTTACGAAGATTATCCACATGGACACCTCGTTGCTGTCGACTGCGGGACCCCGGATTCGAAACCCCACATGCGGTCCTTGGTCTACCAAGTCCGGAGAACAGGACGCGCCTGGCCTGGAGCTGTGGCTGTAGCTAGTCTCCATCTCCGAGTTAACTCCTACTATCATCCAATCCAGCACATATTACAACGACGGACCGGATCTTTCTCGAGAGGAACATGTCGGCATTTGATCATTTGGTCAGCGAAACCAAAATTAGGTATCCTACTACGCGCGGATATAAGCCTTTACTCAAGCAGATTCGGCAGATCCTTGATGGCATGAGCGATCGATGGGCGACTCGTCAAGACCTCACTAACCAGGCTTTGTCCACAGGCTTCAAGGAGGCCGTCATGCCCGGGTGATGCCCCAATCCTTTCGCTGGTGCGGCCGTGACCCGCCAGCTCTTAGTCACTCACTATGCTCTTCTGGACCAAAGCTTCGAGCAACGGCAGTTGGCTTCGTGCCAACTACGGTGCCGCGATTGGCCCACCTCACCATGGACCTCATGGGCCCCGGCAACACTGGGCGCGCTGGGCGAACTGGGGCAATTCCGTCGACCGCCTCCCTGCCCCATGGGGCGACATCATTGGAGAAGCTTGCATCTTGGACGCCCACGCGACGAGCTTCGAGTTGTTTTTCCTGCATTCTCCTCGTGCACCGGGCTCAAATAAATTGCCAACGCGCAGCTTGATGAGGGGCGCTGGTGTTTGTGGATAAGTAGACCTGTCAGGCCACTGCAATATCTTCATTCTCTTCTCTTCTTTCCGACGAAACAGCCCTGTCCTCGAAAGAGAGAGAAACTCTGCCAATAGGGGTCAACAAATCATCAGTGGTTCAACTTGTTCAGCCGTTGCAGCCCAGCAAAAATGGGTCTCGGAGTCCAGGAAGGCAAAGAAACCCCCATATTCCTCTCTCGACAGACAGAGAGCGAGCTGACAGCTGGCAGACAGGAAGCTGGACCACGTTCCGGGGACAGTCTTGCTGAACGATGAAGCCGCCCACTCAGAAGCCATCACCTCGGGGCTCAAGCACGGAAAGGGCCGCGATGCTCATATCCTGTTGTCGCCTCAGCCCAGCGAAGACCCCAACGAGTAAGTGGCGCGATCGATATTGAAAGGGCCGTTTCGCGTCCATTCGGCAGAAATTGTCGACATTGTTCTCGTCGAATCCCTGGGTGCAGGCTAACGGGTGCCTGTATAGTCCCTTGAACTGGCCACTGTGGAAGAAGGAAGTTATCATCGCCATCCTCTGCCTCGGTTCGATGCTGAATGCCGGGACCAATGTAAGCAAACCGCAAGCAACGCGGCAACAAAGCAATGTTTCTGAACTGCTATGTTAGGGACCTTTCCTCAATGCGTCGTATTTCGAGATGGCTCAGCGACTCAATATGGACCTAACAACTGTGGTCTTGGTCTCTGGATACAATCTCCTGGCTGCGGGATGCATTGGGCCGTTCGGTACTTTTCCCCTCGAAAACGTGTTCCCGTCTTGTTTGGATGGTGTGGCGACTGACTTACTGCGACTCAATTAGTGTCTGCATTTAGTCGTAAATACGGCAAAAGACCGGTCTTCCTTGTGTCTACACTTTTCGATATCGTCGGGACAGCCATCGGCGAGGCCAAGATCTCGTACAAATATCTCCTTGCCGCCCGTATTGTCCAAGGGTTTTCGACGTCGGCCTTTGAATCCCTCATTGTGGCAACCGTGGGCGACATGTACTTTGTCCACCAGCGGGGTCTACGCATTTCGATCATCAACTTCATCCTCAACTCCGCTTCCAGCCTGGCATCTGTCATCTGCGGACAGGTGTTCCAAAAGCTCGGCTGGCTTTGGCTTTTTCACATGTTCCAGATCTTTTTGGTGGTGCAATTCTTGCTCATGTTCCTCTTCTGCCCCGAGACAACATATATCCGCGATGTCCGCTACGATACCGACACCGCGGTGGACGAGAAGCTCCAGGACTTGGCCGTGATAGAAGCCACCCACAAGGAAATGATTGGTGAGCCAGGACAAGGTGAACGCACAGATATTCCCAAGAAGAAGACGTTCGTTCAGGAATTGGCTGTTTGGACGGGCGTCTACTCCCACGACAACCTGCTGAAGTTCCTCTTCGGGCCATTCTTGACTCTTCTGAATCCGGCGGCCTGTTATGCAATCATTGCATCCGGCGTCCTCAACAGCTGGTAAGCTTCATATGTACCCTTGACACACTGGAGGCCTCTTCATATGATATACATTGAGGATTTTCAACAGTCTCTAACTCTCGCCAGGTATGTGGGCTCTGCCATTATATTGTCCGGCATCTTTGCGGGTCCTCCGTGGTATTTCAATGCTTCGCAGATCGGATACGTCGGATTTGGTCCCTTCATTGGAGGACTGATTGGCTCGCTCATCACGGGCCTGATGAGTGACTATGTCATCAAATATCTGGGTCGCAAGAATAAGGGTGTCTAGTAAGTGATTATTTGACTCTTGCTCATGATCATGATCATCCGCTCTGCTTTTTCGTCCGAGACAATCACGAAACTGAACTGACATGTCGTGATTTTAGCGAGCCTGAATTCCGTCTGGTGTTCATGGGTCCTGCCTGTGTGGCTTGTGGTCTCGGAATGTTCTTGTTCGGGTATACCCTCGCCGTAGGCTCTCCAGCCGAGCTGTGCGCGTTCCTCCAAGGTGTCATGATGGTGGGCGTGTTGATCGGCATCTTTGCGACGCTCTCGTATGGTCTCGACTCCTTCCGAGACCAGAGCAACGAGATCTTTGTTATGAACATGCTTTTCAAGGTACGTAATACTTTGACACCTATCTGTCCTAGTTTTTCTTTTGTTGGCATCCTAGATTCTTCGTCAACCCCGGAATTCTTTCTTTGCTGACGAAGAAACCACACAAAACTGCAGAACTTCATGTTCTATGGCCTTTCTAACTACGCCAACAACTGGGTGGCAGCCAACGGGCCCGAGCAGATCATGTACGTGTTCGGCGGCACCTCGATCTTCCTCTCGCTCCTCGCGATCCCGGTCTACATCTACGGCAAGCGCCTGCGGAGCTGGTGGGCCCGACACGACCTGTTCAAGATGTTGAAGATGGAGACTCACGGCCCCGTGAGCGATATGGGTTAGCTATGTAATTAGACAGCGGAGGGGGGAAACCAACCTACCTGGACAGGACGGGACTTTGAGGTCACTTGTTCTCGTCGAGCCAACGCAGCCCATCCCAGCGACGTCCGGTAATTAAAACTTTCTCCAGGAGGGATGTTTTAATTCAAGAGTTTTGGATGCACAGGATGGACTTACCAGGACGGGGGTTCGAGTCGAGACCGTACTAGGAGCTGTCAGGCTGTCTGTCAAAGGCCATCCATCTGTCCAGAATATCTTTTAGTCTTTGGAAGAATTCCCTTCCAGATTCTGCTTTTATTCTCCCTCTCCCCCTTACCACCATGAAGGGCGGAGTACCTACCTGCAGGCACATTGGAGCCTCGGACTCGGCCAAAGAAACTTCCCCTGCAGGTACGGGCTCGTCTTTACCCCGTACAAGGACTTATTTACTCTGGGGGTTTCTTCCTGCAAAGCAAGCAGTTTGCCGCACTGCCTTGACCCGCCAACGTTCCTTACATGTACAAGGTACTTATCCCAATCGCACGTAAACTAGCAAGTGGAAAACCCCCTAGTGACCATGGCCGCCTTGACCCAAGCTTTAACTGATCCTTGAACTGGGCCCCTACCTTCGTCTGCTTCATTGTAAGCGTCTTTTAAGGCTGTCCCTCAGCAGCCAATTGAGAAATACCGAGGGGCCACTAGGCTAAATCTAGGCCTGGATGGCCCCTGGCGATCTTCTACCCAACCTGCCAGGCTGCAGTAGGCAGGGTGGCACACAAGGAGATTATCGAGAGAGCGCGTGGGGGAGCGGCCCAGGCATCATCATGATCGGTCGAACCCTTTCAACGTCGCTTTGGTCCACGCAACGCAGCCTCTTCTACGCTACACCTGGCCTGAGCTGGCCTCCTCAAGGTCGAGGCTAGACCGGCCTTCGACTCACTATCGCTTTCCCCTCGCTGTTCGCGTGGTCCGCCCTCATTGGCCGCACCAGGAAGTCGTAGCTCAGCTCAACTTCAGCCGCAATGGCAAGCTCATCGAGAACCCAGACTCCTCATAGACCTCAACTTTCTCCCTTTCGTGTTCGAATATCCCCTAGATTCTGTGGTCAGGATACTCGTTCCAGTGTCGCATGGGCTAAATTCGAGTTAAGCACGGGATGATGGCTAAACCCACGAACCCCAAGGTTGAAACCAAGGCATCAACGTCCAAAGCCGGCCAGAGCGGCAGCCCAAGCAAAACGCCAGATATTCTGTGGAAGGAGGCCGTCCAGAGGTTCCTCGACGAGAATCATATCAAGATTGAAACGTTGGAACTAAATGGCGATTTCGGAGATGCCGATGACGGGGTCGAAAAGGCCTCAAAAATGTTCCAGAGAGCACGACATCCGAAGAACAAAACTGACAAGGTCGTCAAAGCTGTGGGCGGATGCTTGGACTTTATAGATGGGACTGTTGACTTTCTCAAGGATTCTGTGCCAGACGGCGTGAGCTATTCCCGACTCTCCTTCAAATTGCAACCGCGCTCTGACTACCATTAGTATGGCACACCTGCAAAGATCATTGCCGGTACGATTTCCTATATGATTCAGGTTCGGGATGGGTCAAACGAGACAAACAAGTGATCACTCTAACAGACTACAGGCGGCCAAAAATATGACAGAGGACTTTGACCTCATCGAAGAAACCTTCGACAGTATTCACCAAGCCATCAAGGATATCGGCCTACTGAAAGACCGCCACACTCAGCAAGATCATTTCACGAGTCGCCTCATGGATATCTTCCTCAAATTGTTTGAATTTTGCCAATATAGCACCAAAATGTTCAAAGAATATAGCCGCAAAAGTGAGTTGTGGTCGAAACTGGCGGCCACCATCAATTCTGACCCACTATACAGGGCTGTACATCACAGCGCTCATGAAGGGAAGAAATAAGAATATCCAGAACAAGTGTGATGAAGTCAATAAAGCCATCTTGCTCTTTCGAGCCACAGTGCCACTTAAAATCCTTGAGGTCACCATTGACATGAATAAAAAGATTGACGACCTACCCAGTAGCTTAGTCATTGCGCTGCAACGAATGAACCTCAAGGCATCGGAGATGCAGCAAATTTTTGGTCCAAAGAAATCCATCACGGTGGAAAGGATCATGAAGACCTTCAAGGACAGCGGCCTTGATGTCGACGCGAAGCGTTTCATGGAAAAGCAAATGAATTTGATCAATACCCACATCGCCCCAGACACTTTCTTATGGTTGAGGGACGAACCGTCCTATAAATCGTGGCTCTGCGGTCAGGCCTCGCCCTTCATTTACATCTCAGGTTCCTCAGGTGCTGGGAAGACTTATCTGACCTGCAGGTACTACAGTCTGATCCAAGCAAACACCAAGTCTAACCAGATAACCGCCGAGCTAGAGGGGAGCCGGCAAAGCACATCAGTGGCATGTTTCCTCTTTGAGTCAGGGAAAGAGGACTCACAGTCCTTCCAGGCCGTCCTCGCTACTCTAATCCTGCAAATTGCTGAGCAGGACCCTAAGCTCTGTGAGTCCATGGGTCGAGAGTTGGAGAAGATGCCAACAGGCGGCGACGATGATCTGAGCATCGAATATCTTTGGAAAACTTTGATCCTGAAGAAATTTGAGAAAGCCTCAGAAACATCCAGGATTTGCTATATCCTCCTTGACGGTGTCGAGCAGATGAAACCGAATCACTGTCAGAACATGTTGAAGCGTTTCCAGGCCCTCGATAGCGACAGGCACTGCATTCGCATCATGATGACGGGACCTCCCATCATGCACGAGAAATTGGGTCTGAAATCATTGCTCAAGATCGATTTGGACGAGAAAACCAAGTCAGCAGGAGACATCTCAAAGATCATCGACCATCGCATCAAAAATTCCAAGAACCTCAAAAATTGCTCGGCCGCCGCCCAGGAAAAGATAAAAGCAAAACTCTACTCCTGGAAAGAAAGTGAGTGGATATCTTCCAACGCACTGCGTCCAAGACCACCATTTTGATGTACTCAACCCTAGGTGCCATGTCCTCCGTTGACCTTATGCTCAGTGTCATGGAAGATAGCGGGGGCGACGAGGCCGCCGCAATGACCAAGTTAGAAGGCGCAGACAGCCCCGAATGGCTTTACAGGACAATGATTGAGATCGTCAAGGCCGAAACCAAGAGGAGTGGCGACGACCAGAAGAGCCTCGAAAAGTTGTTTGCGTGGTGTACCTACGCAAAGCAGCCTTTGCGTGTCGATCAACTAGAACATCTCTGGGCTCTTGACACTTCGTCAGACAAATTCGATGTCAGAAGTGAGATCGAGGGAAAGTCGTCCAGGTAGGCAGACCAGTGCCGAACATTGCATTGATATTAACTAGGGCCCTGCCATGGCCACAGCGAACCAATTAGTTCGACGGCTAATCCCTGGTTATAGTTTGCTCTATACTAAGAAGACGGCGGACAATCGACCGACGGTATATGGCGACACAGATACCATGCCCATGGCTAATGTAGAGCATGAGTACGTCTTCTTCCGACAGGCTGCATTCAAAGAGTATCTGGAAACGAACAAGAACAAGATGATCGAAGATCCAATTCAAGAAAGAGTGAATATTTTTCTCACTCTTTGTGAGATCCTCTGCGGTCAGAATGCCGTTGGAGATTCTCCTAGACAATCGTTTCGCGAGTACGCAACGGTCAGTCTGATGGAGCATTTCAGGGATATAGACATCCGACAAACCTCACCAAAGCAGAGCGCGGACGTTGTTGAAGCTTTGTCGCGGGTATTGTCCAATGACAACAACGTCTGTGCCGTTTTCGAAGCAGTTCTGGATCGCCAGGGGAGAGATTACGTGGAATTTGACCTCTACGATACTTTTCGTCCTGACACGATGTTCCGGAGGTGGGAAAGGGCCAGTACCTTACTTGTCTGGGCAAAGAAGCTGCACTTTTACGAGGAGGAGGAGCTGTCATTTCGCGCGAGAGAGTGGGTTGAGGCAAGCATCAAGGCGCCACAGAAGATGTTGGAGACTCTCGGCCGGGGTCACCTCGAGAACTGGGCGCAAGCGGTGACTGAGCAAGATGCAGTTGTCCCTTATACGCTTGCCTATCGCGCCCTGTCAACGGTAGGGATCGAAGTCCAGTAAAGCAGCCCCAAATTCTGACTTTTGTTTAGACAGGGATATTTGCGGATGTTGTGGCCGAGACAATGTCCAAAATGACCACCGCGATGCTGGAATATGGGCGAGAGCACTGTTTTAAAGACTCAGTGAAACTAGCCCGGGCCAGGATCTCAGCAGCCTTGCTGTTGAATACCGATTCGAATACTCCCGTGGACCGGGACATAGCTGCCAAACTCTACGAAACCAATATAAAACTGAAGGATACACCAGGCCCGGAGAAGTTCTATTCTTCACTAGGTCTAGCCGAGTACCACGCCAACTCAGGGAACGATGATGATCCTCCCGATCTCGTTCGGAAGAAGTGGGAAATGGTGCAAAAGCACACAGGCTATACACTCCAGCACTGGACCGACGAGAAGGGAGCACTCGGCTCTGAATTGAACAATGAGCGCTGTACTGAGGCGTACTTGCTTGAGGCCCAAGCATGGAGCAAATTAGACAAGGACGACAAGGCCCTTGAGACCTGCAAACACGCTTTGCAACCAGGCGCACTGCAGTTCAGTTCCAAAATCCTTGAATTTCTAACAATGATTGTCGAGATATTTTTCAAGCGGAAACAATATGCCAGGGTCATTGACGAAGTTCAGCAACAGTCGCATCAAATCAAATGCGAATGGATGCTGTCTCGGTCAGAGTACTTGACCGACAAGGACGATCGTCTGCGACAAGCCGCGGTGTTGTCCCGACGAGTAGACGTCCTCATTCAATTATGGGAAGAAGCAATCGATTACTGGCAGCCCCTTTCACCATTCGCGGCTGGGAGGCTTCGGGTTGGACTAGCTATAGTGTACAGACACGACGCTCGCACGACGAAGATGGCAGAAGCAGTTCTTGACAGCATGATTGTAGCCATCATGGCAGATCCTAATATGTTGAAAGGGGGTCTTATTCAGTCCATCTTCCCGGCGATGGTGGACATCCTCTACGAAAACTTCAGCCTCACTTATTCCGATGAAACCAAGAAAAGGGTCCTGGCGAAGCTGGAGAATCTGATCAACGAGTTCGCGCCCACCGTGCCGAGAGGCACTCTCGAGCAGATGCATCTGGCTAGGGCGATGATCACCCTGGCAAAAATGCAGAGAAAATCGGGGGGGCCAGAAGCCGCCAAAGAGGCAGCGGTCTGGGCCGAGCGCGCCTTCCAATATTGTATCGCCGATCTCGAGGACTCGGTCGGATCCAACGATTGCAACGCGTTTCGTTCGCTTGCCAAAGTTTTGGTGTTTGCAGGCCTCAAAACAGAAGCCGTGATTGCCCTGTCGCTGTGGTTTTCGGAGGTGAGAGAGTATGACGACTCACAACCACGCCTTCTCCGTGCCGTCGATGAGCCTGCAGCAGAAAATATCATTTTGATAGAAGAGGAAGATGTCGCTGCAGAAGAAGCCCAACACGATGGTCTAGCTGGAATAAACCCGTCGCAGCAGACTCAGGCAGAAAATGAACGAAATGGCGAAGATAATGCGACAAAAAATCCGTCCGTGGTCGACCATGAGGCTTCGCCTCAAGAAAATCAATCAAACGGACATTTAAGCGTGGGCGGTCTCGTCATCTCGGACGATCCTGCGAACGGCGGATGCCACGCTCCTGAGCAATTGGAGATACAGACTCGAGATGCACCATGGAGCCCCCTACAAGCCAGCGACTATCCTATCCACCACAGCGATACTCCGGTAGAGGATGGCATGTTGCCGGAAGTGCCTGGCGATGCAAGATCTCAGCCTCATACTCCCAATGGAGTGGTGTCCGAAGGACTAGACGAACACGGACTTCCCAACTTGCGTGGAGTTCCCGAGCCTGAGGATCAGGACAAAGAGGACCTCATCGAGGGGGAAATTTCGTGCAATGGCCCCTGCGAGCATCCCTCCCTGACCAGGTGGCTCCCGGGTGTCAAATTCTACTACTGCCTCGACTGCGAAGAAGTCGACCTCTGCGCCGACTGCTACGCCGCCCAGGAGAAGTACTTCACGGAGCACGGCGACGGGTTCTGGATGAAGTGCTGCTGGGCGCGGCACGAGTTCCTGGAGGTCCCGATCGAGGGCTGGAAGGGCGTCAAGGACGGAGAGATATGGATCAACGACAAGAAGAAGTCGTGGGTCGATTGGTTGGCATCGGTCAAGGAGAAGTGGAATAGGCAGATGGTGACCGCTGCGAAGTAGGAGAAGCGCCACGGACTTGCATCTGTCTTTCTGTTCGTCTGCCTTGCGTAGTGGGAGGTTGTTGAATGTGGAATCGATGCATTTTTCCCTGTTGATGTGGGTAGTTTGTATACAAGTCCCCGGTATGAAGAAAGACTAAGTAATTTGTGCCGTCACCACTTTTGTGTAAGACCTAGAACCAGCGAGTCCGTATAACAGACAGACACATAACGATCTGAGCATCAATTTAATAGTACTAGTAGTACACACAATGGCACTATGAGGTTCGACACTCACCACGCATTGGGTAGATACGGACCTGGGACCGCGTACCTGTCGAGTTACGGACCTATAAAGCTATGGCGCTGACGACCTCTGTATGAGGACTCCGTGCTATGTCCCCAGGCATCGGAGTACTCCGTATATGTCCCTGGAGTTGGAGTCGTCCTTTTCAATCTGTAGTTATTTACGGAGAAGTCTGTGGTCGCTCGTTCAAAATTCCTGCTCAGACTCAGACCCCGAGTCCATATCATCCCTCGCCGTCCCCTTGTCCGCGGCCCCCACCTCCGCGCAAATAAGCGATCTCCGTAGCCGGTCTATCTCTTTCCCGAATGCGCAAGGTGTACGATATGCTTTACGACCATCGCGTTCGGTCGTTGCAACGTCCCTGCTCGGACTCGCTCAATTCGTTCGTCTCAGACAGAACTATTATGTCGCTTGTGTTCGGACCGAGCAGATCATCTTTTGCTTGTTGCTTGTTGCTTGTTTCTGACCCTGCATGCTCTTCGTCTTCCTCAGCGCCCCCTTAATTCTTCCGAGTGCTTGTTAGGGATAGATGACAAAGACAAGCACGCCACGAAATCATGTCATGCTATGCCATGCCATACACCAGCGCTCTTGGCCCGGACTGGATAGTACATAATTACGAGTAAGCGCGGACGTACGTTGATCACTCTAGCGCCGAACGAGGGATCAGTCATGTCTTCGCTCGAGTAGTGCTCGGTATTATCCAGGGCGAGAAGTTTTGGGATGTTCCCCCATATGTATTCGGTGCCGCAGGAGTTAATATGTTACTCGGACTGTCAGTCGCTGAAACCGGCAACGGGGGGCCTGAACGACAGACATCCCCGTCACGTACATAGCCTCAAAAGGTATATGAAGCCTTCAAGGTAGTTTTCGACAGTCATCTCTTCCCCGTCCCCCCTCACGGTCATTAAACAGGTTTTTGTAAAGGAAAGTTATCGACGAAAAAGATCTCAGCTGTCGGGTAAATCAGAAGTTTAGATAACCAAAATTCTCGACGACAACAACAAAGCTCAAAATGCCGACCGAAGAAGTGGCTGTTATCGGCGCTGGCCTCTCGGGCCTCACATTGGCCCTGGCACTACATAAGCAAGACATCAAGTGCACCGTATATGAGTCGAGACCTGCGCCTCTCAACATCGGTGGAGCCGTCATGCTATCGCCCAACGCCCTCAAAGTCCTGGATGCCTTAGATGTGTATCAGGACGTCCGCGGACGGGGCTACAATTTTGAACTTCTCAAGGTTGTCAAAGCCGACGGGGAACTCATCGAGACATATGAATTTGGCGGCAAGGAGAAATATGGGTACCAAGCGAACCGATGCTATCGCTACGAGCTCATCGACGTCATCTTGTCCAAGATCCATTCGCTCGGGATCCCAGTGGTGTTCGGTCGAAAGTACGTCCGCATCGTCGACGAGGCCGAGGATCATGTCGTGTGGGAATCGAGCGACGGCACTCAATCCACAGCGTCCTTCCTCGTCGGAGCTGACGGGATCCATTCGCCCGTCCGAAAATATCTCTACCCAGACGTCGAACCAAAGTTCATTGGGATGGCAGGCATCACTTCAGCTGTTCCGGCGTCTCAAGTCACTTACCCATACGGAAAGATTGCCCAGCCTCTTACCATCACGGCTGAAGGTAAGGGAGCGTTTGTCATCGCTCCTCAGAAACCCGACGCGTCGGAAATGTTCTTCGGAAAGCAGAAGCGTATTGAGGAGGAGCTCAGCCGAGAGGGATGGGATAACTTCCTCGCGGACAAAGAGGGTCTGGTCAAGTTCCTGAAGCAGGATGCGGAAGCCTTTGGCGAAGTCGCCGTCACTGCCACAGCGAAGATTCCGCACGACAAAATCAACGTCTGGCCCTTCTATGTCATCCCGCATTTGGAAAGGTGGGCTTCCCGGAAGCGCAGGGTCGTGATCCTGGGCGATGCTGCCCATGCCATCCCGCCCAGTGCGGGTCAGGGAATCAATCAAGCGTTTGAGGACGTGTACATGTTCTCCCTTCTCCTCGCAGCGTCCAAGACGGGGGGCGTCAATTTCGAGAATGCTTTGACCTTCTGGCAGGGTTATCGCCAGGACAGGGTCAATAAGATCTTGGAGCTGAACAAGCAGATTGACCTGAGGAGGATGCCCAAGGGCACACGTTCTTCTGATCCGGCAGGTGAGGTTGTGCAGAATGAGTTCGACTTGCAGTGGCTTTACGAACCTGACTTCAAGGCGGAAGTGGAAAACTGGATCCGTAGCAACAGGTCTTAGAGATGGGGGGAGCGGCCAGTGCAATGTGGATAGACAGATCGATCTGAGCTTCTATGCAAACACTAGGTAATTGCGAAGACATAACCGCTGGAAGGTGAACAGCCCAAGGTTGCTCGCCATTGCTATTGTTTCAAATGACACACAACCCTCTCCTTCGGCTTGGCGTCTTTTGAAATTTCATTCAGGCGTCTTGAGGTGTCTGGTTTGATTCCCATCTCCCTCGACTTCTTAAACTTGGCTGAGCCTCCATCTTTGAGAGTGAAGTCACCTCACAGTAGGACATCCCGGAGGCCCCGATCTGACAAGAGGGTGTTGATGCGAGCCCTCAACCCTCGCTAGACAGCCATGGCCGCCTTGACAGAGCCTCATGCTCACTTGGACGGAGCGAGCGACTCGTCTTCCCTGTCGGATCCTCTCGATACAACCAATGATGAAGGCTGGGAAGACGTCGAGCCAGACGAGGAGCCTGTAACCATCGTCTCTTTAGTCGATGACAGCACGTTTCGCGACCCACAGAGCATGCTTGCTTATTGCCGAGACACCCATTGCCTCGACCTCTGGAAACTAAGGCAAGATTTCGGTGAATATGAAATATATTTCATGCAAACGGGATTATGCTAACGGCCGCGCTCTGACTAGGTCTTGATTATCTAGGACTCGTCCGACTAGTCAATTACATCCGATCGGAGGTCAAGGCGGGCAATTTGCAGCCTGATGTCTCCTCCAAGGCACTGTTCGATGACGAAAAGTATCTCAAGCCTGTCTTGGAGGATGATGCGCTGCTGTATAGTCTAGAAGATGTTTTCGAAGAGAACGACAGCCTAGCTCCGCCTCCAGAAATCGAAAGACAGGAAAAAGTCCTAGAACAACTTGTGACTCTGCGGATTCACGGCTTCGCTGATCAAACGGCGGTGCATGATGCCATACTAGACCGCCTTGAACAGTCAGAACCTACACGGGAGGCGAGTGCCTCTGCTCAGGGTGCAACATCACGTATCAGAAAACAAGTCGATAACAATGCTGAGGAATTTGACAAGGATTATTTTCGTTCCTACTCGTACAATGCAATCCACGAATCAATGATCAAGGATCGCGTACGCACCGACGCCTACCGTGACTTCATCTACGATCACAAACATCTCTTCAAAGATAAAGTCGTCTTGGACGTTGGCTGTGGCACCGGCATATTGTCCATGTTCTGCGCTAAAGCCGGTGCGCGGTTGGTCATTGCGGTCGACAACTCGGGCATCATCCAAAAGGCTCGAGAGAATGTGTTCAACAACGGTCTGCAGGACGTTGTCAAGTGCGTCAAGGGCAAGATTGAGGAGGTCACTCTACCAGTTCCCAAGGTAGACGTGATTGTAAGTGAGTGGATGGGCTACTGTCTCCTGTATGAGTCCATGCTCGACTCGGTGATCTATGCGCGCGACAAGTATCTGGCCCCGGATGGCTTAATGGTGCCTTCGCACGCGACACTACGAATCACCCCTCTTGCAGACTCGGACTTGAAGGCCTCACACATTGACTTCTGGCGCGACGTATACGGCTTTGACATGACCGCAATGCTGGAGAAGGCGCATGAAGAAGTCCTCATACGGCTGGCGAACGACAAGGAACTTGCTGGCGAGAGCGTCGCGTTCCTCGAACTTGACCTGCATCAGACCCGGGTGGATGACTTGACGTTCACCAAACCATTCGAGACAACGTGGCATGAGGGATTCAAGATCCTGGAAGGATTCGTCATCTGGTTCGACATCTTCTTCAACACGTCACGGGCTCATGGAATCGTCACGACCGGTATGACAGCCGCCGAAGCCAAGGAAAAAGGTCTGATCTCATTTTCAACCGGTCCGCATTCCGAAGCGACGCATTGGCAGCAAGGGATTTTCCTGATCAAGGACCCTGTCGACGAGTTCAGTGCTGGGGACTGCATCGCTGGCGAGGTGAGGTATCTGAAGAAGCAAGGCCAGGAGAGGTCCTTGGATATTGATATCGCATGGGGGGCAAAAGTCAGTGTTGGTGGAAAGGAGCGGGTGAAGAAGCAGATGTGGATCTTGGATTGATACATACCTAATATCATCCATCGACCCATGTCCAAGCCCGGCATGTCTACACAGTACACACCGTGATGGTTGTGCGGCGTTTTGTTCGGTCGTTTCGGCGTTATTCGTCTGAGAGATGCAGATGCAGAAACACCTTCTCACCTCGGCGTTTATGTGTTGGATGCAAGTTATCGCCATGTATCACACACATCCATCAGCGACCGCCTGCCCAGTGACTGGCCCGACGAAGCCGTGACTCGAGACCTTTCTACACCAAAACGCGAACCACCTCGCGGCACATGCCCGATGCGGAGCAGCCCACATGCCACAGCGCAACAGCCAGGCAGCAAGCCGGGAAGTCGGTATCAACGTATTTATTGCGTTTCCTTCCGTTCTTTCCGCATCTGTGATAGTGTGTCTCTGGTACTTTGGGCTTCAACGCAATTGATTCATTTCAATCAAACCATATTCAATCGCTTTTACTTTTTTCTTTTTCTTTTTTTGACTAGAGTTCATAAAAGATATCTGAACCTCTATCCGCCATGGCATGTTGAAGAGCAGTGCTGCTTTTACCGGCACCACTGAATAGAGAACACGAGAAGAATGAAAAAACCGGCTTGAATCCGTACTCTATTGAGCCGACGACCAACAAAAGAGCTCTTCTCCATCACACTCACGCTCTAACTCTCTTTCTGTCTCACACATACAGACATATCTGCCATCGTTCGCGAAAATGTCCGATAATCCGCAAGCATTCACTGGCGGGGGGACGTACCCGAACCAGATCTACAAACCAGAGCTGGAACAGGTGCCCGCACAGATCGCAACGCTCCTGGCCGAGTACGCGGGCATCCCACCGGAGGCACAGAAGGAGCATGTCAAGACGGTGCGCGACCGGGCGTTCAAGTCGCACCCGTACCCGTGCCTGGGGCGGTGGCGGTTCCTCGAGCTCGACCTGTCCAGCCACCCGTTGTACCACAGCCACATCCTGCCAATGCTAGCGTCGTCCAAGGAGCAAAAAGCGCCCGAGCCCGAGGAAGCCTCCGAGGTGGTGGGCAAAAACGAAACCCCGGGCTGGATCTTCCTGGACCTGGGCTGCTGCTTGGGGCAGGACATCCGCAAGCTAATCTTTGACGGTGGCGACGCCCGGCGCATCTACGGCGCGGACCTGCGCCCGGAATTCATAGACATTGGATACGCGCTGTTCCGGGACGAGGACAGGTTCCCGCGCGCCGAACACTTCGTCGCCCCGGCCGACGTGTTCGATTTCTCTCCCGACAGCGAGCTGAGCAGGAAGTGCGACGGCCGCGTCGGCATCTTGCACGCCACATCTGTCTTTCACCTCTTCAACTGGGATGAGCAGGTCGTCATGGCCCGCCGGTGCTTGCAGCTGATGACCGCCACGCACGGCCGCGTGCTAATCTGCGGGTGCCAGGTGGGCAACGAGAACCCCGGCGAGTTCCCCCGTCGCAGGGGCGGGGGAACGCGGTACAGACACAACGAGGCGAGTTGGAAGAAGATGTGGGATGAGATCGTCCGCCAAGAACCGACCAGGGACAAGGTTCGTGCTGTCGAGGTCGAGGCAGTCATGTTGGGCAGGAACATCGACGATCGCGTCAGGGAGGAGTTGGAAGCGCCGCAGCACAAGCGCGAGGCTCAAGCGCAAGATCAGAACGCATTAGGCAGCAAGACGGAGGGAGACGAGGGGGACGATGACGATGAGCGGAAGCACATTGGCAGGTTTGAAAAAGGCTTCAGGTGGATGAAGTATTGGGTCTGGATTGATTTCGCTTAGAATCAAGGCCAGGATTTGCAATGTCTCCTCAGCATTGCTTTCCCTTTGAGCTGGTAAGCGGAGAGTGGAATTTTTTTTTCTTTTTTAAATCACAGAGCCTTGATGGCGCGTGTGTGTATCACTCACATGTTGACAGTGAAACTTTCGACTCGAGGACATGATTATTCGTTCTGTTGAACAAGTACTCGAGCAGAGCACATCTTCACCGAGACCTGGGTGATATCCGATGTGCAGAACGTACTCGCATGGGGACCAAAGTAACGAGATAATGATTAACTCACCTGACACGTAACTTCACTCATTCTTTGAAGCTACTGCACGCTGGGTCCGCTCGATTCTTGGTGCTGTGCTGGAGAGGGGTAGGGAAGGCCGCCCACTGATGCACTGATGTGCTGGCACTGCACGTGAAATCCCGGTGAAGCAAGCCCCAGGGTTTAGCGAGAAGCTTATATCTGGGGAGCCTCTCAGTGACACATACGGGTGAGCCATTCCCATATCCCCGGTGCGGCTAGGTGAAGGGGCACGGGTCCATCAAAGTGAATGAAGAAATCGTACCGAATACCTCCTGGGCTCGGCAAGTGAAGTGGAATGTGACAAATCCTCCGATGCATAAAAGAAGCTGCTGTTTCTCTCGGAGTGGGGAAGACCACTCGTCTGACTCATTCCCGAACTGTTTTCTGAATCAGCAGATCAATATACCCATTACAACGCTCGTAAGAAGAAGAGCTCAATGTCATCAACTCCCTCTCCCGTCGAGTCAACGTCGACCTCGGCAACGTCGACAGGTCCGGTTCCAGGGTTATTATGGGTAACTGCAAGCATCATGAGAAAAGACCTACCCACCTCGCTTATCGAGGAGTGGTATGAGGAGCACATCGTTGATGTCCTGGATTGTCCTGGTAACGGTGGCCTTTTTCTCCGATACAAAAACACGGATCCGGCCGCCGACCCATACGCCGATCCGAAATTCGCAGAGCGTGTCACGCCGTCAGCGTCTGAGAAGAGTATAGTTGAGACACGATGGCCCAACCTCGCTTTAGTAAAGCTGAGCGATGTAGCTTGGGTGGCCAGCAAAGAATTCAACGATATGCCCAGACACTCCAAGCTGTTGCCTCCCGAGCCAGACGGGTCGATTGGGAGTGCATTCAGCTGCTGGTATGGCGCTTTGCGGAGTTACGAAACGGTGGGCAAGATCGATGATAGCACTGGAAGCACGAGCCGACCCAGATACATCCTCAGTGTGCAGACGAGGACTGCAGACGAATCCATCTGGAAGGCTCTTGACGATAAGTACACGACTCTCCCAGGTTTTCGAGGCTCGGTGAGATATCGGATTGTGAAAGGGTTGTTGGAATTCGAGGAACCTGGGACATTGCCAGCGGGAATGGTGCTGTATGAATTTGACGGGGAAGTACGTCCATCAGTGCTCGTGGATGACCAACATCTGAAGGCCGACGTTTGGGAGTTGATCAAGGAGGCGGGAGATCTGTCACTTCGGCTGTGAAGAAGCTCGAGTCAGCGAGCTTGATGCTGGTCTTGAGAGAGAGGGAGAAGGTGAAGCAGCGTTGAGCTCAGGTGGTTGTTTGGACAGCCCTTCTCACCCGCGGGTAGCGAGGGTCTTCCTCTTCCATTTGGCGGCGAGTGAGGCAGGGCCTGAACACGCGCGGGCAGAAAACTGAAGCTTAGATTTATTTTGAGAAAGATCGGTGTATGGATGAGAAGGACAAGTTCGTGGTTGATCCGGGCAGCTGGCAGTGGGCGGCAGCGGGCAACAGCTGGCAAACCGGCCTCCGGTGGGGCAATTGACCAACTGCGCTACTGCAGCTGAAGCTGAACTGCGCAGCCCAAATGCCTACAAGTACTCAGCGAGGCAGCTCGCCAGTACATACACTATTAGCTCAATACCTCTACTCCATTCTTAAATAATAACTGGACCTTCAGTTTGCTATTCACCGTTTCTGTCCTTAACTAGTAGAAGTCCGAAATCCGCCCTCTGTCCCTCCCCACTTGGAGGTTTCTGTTAGTCCGGAAGCCATTCCTCAGACCGAATCAGACCCAGATCAAATAGCTCTTTTAATGACAGAGGTACCAATGGGAACCCGACATTTGCTTGGGAATGATCCTCACATTCATGAGGATGTTTCATGCCGGGTTTTCACGGATGGACAAGATACTTGACCCAGCCCAGCAACTGCAAAGAGGTAACTGCGGATCGAGAGCGCATCCCATACCTGACCGTGTTGGCAGTCGCAGCGTCTGATTTTGTCTGTCCATGACAAGGCCATTTCCGGGAACAGGCAAACCTGCTTCTCTAAAAGGAACTCTTCGCTCAAAGTTGGTCGAGGCTCGAGCCAGTCCTAGTAAAGTGTTCCTCTGTGCCACGGACCATGGAAAAATGGCGGGCTTGTTGGACGAAACATTTGCGAAGATTGACAGACCTGACACAAACATCTCCGGAATACAGGACGGAATAACTCTGCGCCAAGGGTGTCCCTCCCAAGTCTACCAGTGAGTGATGCTACACAAATTGGAGAAGTCGTCCAATTCTATGACGTCGAGCAGCATCCACAACGGTCGAAGCCTTTCAGGAGATTAAAGTCAAGTCTAGAGTAAGACTTGACAACGGCTCACTTTCAGACATGAAAAGTCTCGATCTGGCCAAGTACAGCCAATCTTTTGTGATCGTGAAGTTAGCAATTGCTTGTCTGCAGTTGGTGCGGTCCAGGGCACCTGTTTTGGTCGACTTTGATCTTGAGATCGAATGAAGACAGGGCATTCTGACATCAACATATCGCAGACCAAACTCGCCAGATCTCGGACCATACCGGATCGAACGGAGCATGAAGGCCTTGAATACATCGAGGAACTTCTAGCGTGGCAAACGACGGCAACGTCATGCAGATCCTTGACCGATTTCGAATGGAGATTTTAGCCCGAAGGACTTCAGCCTCGCTTCGGCACAATACCCTACAAGGATTACTGAGAACCTGAGGGATCGGCCCTCAGCACCGATAAAGCAATTCAGCGAGCCTCTGCATACCCTCAGCGAAATGTGCAGTCCATGTTTTAGCTGGTTGAAAGCACGTGCATTTACTTATTTGATATCAGCAGCTTACAACTGATGCTTTTGCTGATATGACCTTACGACCACAGTCCAACATCATGATGCAACGTGATGTAATCCCCAGTCAGGCCAATATGCAGCATTGCAGCACTTGAAAATAACGAAACATGGCTCAGTCGTTGGTATAATGGATGTTCTCCCTTCTGGCGAAGTAGCCTTATCCAAATTCCCAAAACCCAATATTGCCTGCCGGGGTTCTCGTTTTGACCACCAGTAACATCATCAATCGCATAGAACAGCATCATGTATCATCTGCAGAACAAACATAAAGAGAGGAGCATGTCGATCGATGACCGCGAAAACCATGCAGCGACGCATCACAACACGACCGAGGCCAACCTCGACCACGAGTCCATGAGAATTGCCAGGGAAATCGCTCAAAGACGGGTCAGCAATCAGATGCAGTAAGTCATCCTTTACGCTTGTCCCTTGCTGGAGTTCTGCCCTTTTCTGTCGCTGCTGTTCCTTCCCCATTCCAGCCGAATAGAAGCTGACTGTTCGTCACAGAATGAACGAGGAGGGCCACCCGAACCTGAAGTTTGACGTGGATCCACTCGAGCCAGACTACTCTCTTCTGCCGTCACAGAGAGCACTATGTGCGAAGCAACAGCGTGAAGGCAAAGGCGGGACGCCGTCTGAGATTACAGCTGCATCCCGAACAGAGCGTAAAAGCTCCATGTAAGCGGCCAAGTCCCTTGGACATCCTGTGTGGCAGCACGGCGCTGACTTGAGTGACCAGTGTCGAGAAGGTCCAGAGGTTTGGGTGAAGAGGCAGAAACAATCAGTCATATGTGAGTGAATGTAGGTTGGTGCCGGATCTTCTAGATACAAGGTTATTTATATAGCTCAGTCCGGCGATTCGCGTGTCCGAAGATGCAGGTGCACGACATCCAGTGTCGGGTATCCAGGATCTATGATCAGATGGGGAAGCTGCATGGAAGAACAAAAGCGCGGGGCGATGGTGGTGGCGGCGGCGGTGGGCAATGTATGGAGTCAATGTACTGTGCCATTCGCTGACGCCGCTTCTGCCAGGGAGGTTCAAGCAAATGTACAACGAGGTACAAGGGTACAAGTACAGTATTTGATACTATTCTTCCGACATGATAACGACTGTTATTTCTTTTTGAACCAGGTGCCGAGTACTCTGCACTTGGACACCATGGATCCCAGGGCAAAAGGGAAAGACAGCTCTGGGCCTTTTGGTGGAGCAGCTCTGGTAGGCGCATGTTTGAAATGACTCGACATGACTGCAAGCCAGATGGCTATGCACATTGTTGTATCAGAAGGGACAAAAGCACATGACCGGCCAATTCCCGCACAAGGACTGAATCGTCAACTCGATATCGCGGGGAATCAGGCTGAAGTCGCCTCCGTCGCCCGAAAACCACCGAAGCCACTTCCCCTCATCTCGCTTGATACGGCAAGGCTGGGTCGGCGGCCAGGCCTCTGTTGACCTCTCCCAGCTCTCCTCATTCCTCTCCTTTTCCCTTTCCATCTTTCTCCCCGCTCCTCGCTCCTCGCTCCTCCGCCCGCTTCGCACCACACACCACACACCGCACCTCGCAACCTAGGTAGCTGGTTCCACGTGCGCCACCGAGAAGATGGGGCCTGCACTTCCTGAAGATACCCTCGAGGCGCAAGTGGACACAGCCCCACGTCCGGACCAGCAAACCAGTCCATTCTCCCAAAACCACCATAGCACTCTACCCTCTCTACCCTCTCGCCGCCAGTGGGACGCAAGCCGGGTGAGGAGTTACTTTCGCACAAATGCCGAGAACTGAGAATTCTTGCGGTGCGGGCTGCTGCCGATACGGATTATGGAATATCATGGATTTGCAGCTTCGAACAACCCAAGCTTTTGGTACGAATCCCTCTGGTGATCGCAATAAAGCCCAGCTCCCTTCCACAGTCGCCTTGATATTGGTTTCATAAAGAGGTGGTCTGAGACTGCTGTGCAATTTCCTCTGGGCTTGTCATCAATCATGGGTGTAATGCTTCATCTCCAACATGCAGCCCCTAGCGCCAGCCAAATCGCCATTGGCCTGGCGCTTTTCGGTCTGCTCGCTCTCATCGCCGACTATGCGCGGATGCTCCTTCTGCGGAGGAAGATGGTAAGAAGAACAATAGCACTCTGCTAAGCTCTGCTCCCGATCATTACAGAACCCCGAAAAGTGAGCGGTACTTGTTTTCGCTGACAATTCCCCTCCCAACAGCCTCCTGGTCCGCTCCCTTGGCCGATCGTGGGCAACACATTCCAGCTACCAGACAACAAGCCGTGGATTTATTTCGAGACACTCGCCAAGAAATACAAGACTCCCGTCATCACATACTGGATCGGCCGGAACCCCACCGTATGGATCTGCGATGCCTGGGCGGCTTCCGAGATGTTAGACAAGCGAGCGGGCATCTATTCATCTCGGCCACGTATGGTTGTCTTCGGTGAGCTATCAATGGGGCAGTCGAACATTGTCTCCATGTTCTATGGCGACCGATGGCGACTACACCGAAAATTGACCCATATGGGCGTCGGTCTACAGCACGTTCGCAGTTACAGTGGGTTCCAGAACAACGAGAGCAAAGTCGTGGCTTTGGATCTGGTCCGAGATCCTGCCGACTATGTAATGCATTTCGAGCGCTACGCCGCGTCGGTGGTGAGCATCATTGGCTTTAACCGTCGCATTAAGAGCAAGGAGGATCCCATCATCACTGAAGTCATTGCTGTCATGCAGAGAGCTGCAGAATTGAACGTCCCCGGCAAGACATTTCCAATGTTAATGGAGACATTCCCGTGTAAGTTGAATTGGCCCCTAGTGGATCAAATGGGATCGAAATCTGATGAGGAGCGGCAGGGCTTTCGAAATTTCCGAACTGGATGGCACCCTGGAAGTGCGGGCTTGGAGCGGGAAAGGGGCGTGGTCGCTCATTCTATTATGCTCTTGCCGAGGAAGCAGTACGCAAGAACAACGGCGATACCTGTTACGCTAAGAAGATCTTCGACGAGGCGCCCAAGTATAATCTATCCAATATGGAAATTGCCTCCCTCAACGGAAATCTCTTCGGGGCCGGAAGCGACACCTCAAGTTCCACCCTCATCACGTTTATCCTGGCCTGTTGTGCCTTCCCCGAGGTCCTCCCTAAGGCGTGGGAGGAACTTGACCGCGTGGTTGGATCGTACCGCAGCCCCACCTTGGACGATGACTTGCCTTACATCCGGGCATTTGTGAAGGAAGTCTTTAGATGGCGATCTGTCGCGATAATCGGAGGTCAACCGCATGCCCCGATCCAAGATGACTATTACAGGGTAAGCAAGGCTAGTTTGTCGCAGGAGGCGATACAACTACTTCATGATACATACGAGAACTCCTACTGACACTTTGGTGGTGGTGGATAGGACTGGTACATCCCCAAGAACACCTGGGTGCAGGGCAACGTCTGGGCGATCCATCGCAACGAGAACGACTTTCCTGAGCCCGATCGCTTCTGTCCTGAACGGTTTTTCGAGGGACACCCGCTTCACCGCCCGTTTCCGAACGAGAAAGGCTACATGACCTTTGGCTGGGGCCGACGTGTCTGCAGCGGCCAGGGCCTAGCTGAACAGGGCACGTTCCTGTCCGTGGCCAGAATACTCTGGGGATTTAACATCCAGAAAGCCCTAGATAAGAACGGCAACGAGATCCCCGTGGATATTTTTGCATACACGTAAGTTGCGCATGAGGGGTACACCTGAATTCACCACGCGCCACCTGTTCCTCCTGTTCTCCCTTGTTCAGACTTCTACTGCCGCCAAGTGGCTGAAAGAAGGGGAAAGAAGAAGATAGAAGTCCTATTCCCGTCTTCGCTCCTCCCTCTTCTGTTTTCCGAGAGTGTGCGGTATGTGTGTATGTGCGCTGACGGTTTCCCCTCGCAGAAACGGCCTCAACATGCGCCCTGAACCGTTCGAATGCCGGATCACCCCCCGGACACCCGAGATCAAGGAGACGATCGAGCGCGAAGGGAAACAGGCCCTCGAGGAGCTGGCGCAGTATGATGGCGAAAGCCAGTATCGCATGAGCACGTTCTACCTTGAGGATAAACTTTAGAATACCTAGGTACCTAATGAGGTGGAATATGATAGGACGGGTCCGAAGGGACGGGATGGGAGCCCCCTGGAGCGTGAAGCATAGAGTCTGAGGCATGAAATTACGAACTCTTAAGGCATCGCCCGCTTTAAGGGTAACCCCGAAGTCTGGAGCTGCAAGTCCGAAGTATCAAGTCTCGAGCTAGGAAGAATGAAACAATCGAAACAAAGGAAATAGATAAACAAATAAATAAATAAGAGCCTCTGGGTTTTTTTTCCCCCACAGACTCTGCGAAGATATCACATGTGACATGTCAAGAGAAAGGGATCCTCAGAGAGCTTCAAGCGTTCAATCAGTTTCCTCAGGATTAGGTAGGTAGGTAGGTAGGTAGGTAGGTAGGTAGGTTGGTAAGAGAGCCTGGAACCAGAAGTACTAGGCTGTTCTTCAAGCACTAACCGTACATGGCTCCATCACGGATCTCGATGGTGTGTTTTTCATAATAGATCGACAGACAAACGGACAGGCTCATATCAATATTGCGCTCCGTCGTCTTCGCTCTCGCCCTCTGCGCCATTGCCGTGCATATAGTGCATATCTCCCCGAGCCCGAGCCCCGCGAGTCCAGTCCAGGTCCTAATCAGCGCGACGTCTTGTAAAGCATAGCCAATAATCATTCGTCATTCATGATTTCCTACCCCCTCGACGAGTCATGCCAATAATACCGCCACGGACGCCAAATCCACCTACCTACCTCACCAATCTCCTCCTCTTCCTTGTCTTCGTCAAGCATGATTCAGGATCGCACACCACCTCGACCAGGGTATGATGTGTCGGCGCGGCGCCTTCTGTGCAAGCAGTTCGAGGATGAAAATGTCCATTTCCGCGTAGTACGGGTACCGGCGGAGGATTTCTGTTGCTGCTGGATGCTGCTGTTCCGTGATTTCCAGACGCTCGCACACTCGGTGAAATTCTGTGGCCGGCCACGCTGAATAGGGGATATCGCCCCTCGCTGTAAAAATGTCGTTGCCCATCGTGGCCAGGAACAAGAGCCACAAGTAGTCGCTATCCTGCGCTGGTTGGCTGTCTCGTGCCAATGACTGCGATACACCGCGAAGGACTTGCTCGATCTTTTGGCAGGTCTTGCTGAAATTGTAATTGTGCGGCAAGTCCAGGAACTTGAGGTTCATGAACATCATCGCACAGAGGCATGCGGCGGCTATCAATGTTTGCTTGACTTTGTTTGCTTGATCCAGCTTTGGGGATTGAGCTAGTTCGGTTGCACTGACATATCCTGTGGTACAATATCCAGTAACGGCACTGCTTCGTCTATTTATCCAATGCACGACCTCTTCTTGCAATTTGGAGTCGCCGATCTTGTCCACTATCATCTTTGTATTGACGATCTCGTGGGCGCCGGCCAACAGCTTCCACATCTTTTCATCCAGTGCAGCCTCGCGGACTGCGCTCTTGGCACCGGCTGTCACAGCAATGCCATGCTCATCTTCCAGCACTCGAAGAGCTCTGTCGAAGGGATGTTGGGAGCGCGTCCCGGGATCGTAACGATCCGGGGATATTTCAGGTCTCTTCAACAGTGATATAGAGATCCAAGCGTCACTGATCAGGAGAAGCTCTTGGGCATCCAATAAAACTCCTGGTGTTGTCGACGCCATGGCCCACAGGCCACGTAAATGAACCAGGGCCGATTCATCATCGGATACGTGAAAGTCAAGAGAAATGAGTAGGCGAATTAACGTGGTGACGCTAGGTGAGAAGCCATGTTTCGCAAGACGATCTCGAAGGAGCGACACGGCTTTGGTTTTATGCAACAGCTGCCGGGTCATAGACTTCTTGGCATCATGCTTCGAAAGCCCTCCATTTACAGCATAGCCAGCGGCAAGGATGGCATGAAGTTCAGCTTCATCTGCAATAATCTTGCGAAGATGGATGTGGGAGCTGGAAGTGTCAGCTATTGGGGCCCTCCACACGGCGCTTGTCTTGTCCGGCCAGGCCACGAAGACGAAGAACCGCTGAGCTTGTCGGATGATATCATGGTCTGGCGGAGTCAGAGGCACTGCAGCTGCCGAAAAGGGGTCAGAATTGCCCTTCCAAAAGGTCAAAGAGGGTCTATTGATTGCCAAAGTACGCTTGCTCCATACCCCGGACCGCGCCGTTCGTTGTTGGTCAATATTTTCTTGGCTGCTCTCCTCAAATGGGTAAACAGGCTGACTATGCTCGTCGCCACGAAACTCCTCGTCCGATGAATGGTGTACAATGGCGCGATAGGCACTACCGTCGTCTCGCAGTTCATCGGGGCCGGTGACTGTCCGTTTAGGTACAGAGTGGTCCTCCACTGGGGCGTCAGTTGATGGACCAACCCCAGGCATTCGCGATGTTGCTGCTGGAAGAATAGATCGCTGAGCAGCCACAGCCTTGCTGCTAGATGCATGCAGTCGCCTGAGCCTCTCCTCTTTCAACCACTTGCGATGTGTCTTGGACACATGCGAGGAAATAGTGAAACTCTCGTCTCGACTTCTACCTAGGGTCTCCGAGGTCTTGTTGATGAATAGAAGCGGGCCACTATATGGCTTCGGTGCCCTATCATCACTATTATTGTCGTCTTTGGACATCGTCGTCTCTTCGAACCCCGTGCAAGGCTAAAGATCTTGAGGCCACCCATATCACACAGTCTGGTTGATGACACGGGCGATTTGATTAATATGGGCTCGAGACCACGCCGACTGTGCTGAAGCATACAGGGATCCTGATGGCATTCTGGAAGCTCTGTTGCGTCAGAGGAGATGTGATTCGGCGAGGATGGCCGCGGATGGCTGGATTAGGGGTTGATCTTGTCATTGGGTTGGCGAGTTGGAAGGAGCAGTGAGAACGACGGCCAGGTTGAAGCCTTTGTTCAAAAGCGGTTTCCGCACCAGCTCGTGCCAGCGCCAAGAATGCGCACAAACCCAGTTCGTACTGCCCACCACGATCTCAAATGCACCTCTGCAGAAGCTCCCCATGAACATGCTGAATTCTCTTTACTCTCGATGTATCATGTCCCATCGTCGATGTCTCCTTGTTGGGTGTGCTGACTGTTTGCAGCAATTATCTTGAGGAGCCATGCCTCCGTTCCATGAGAGACGACGAACAACACCCCGATCGGACGCCCTCGGGGACTGGCGGACGAATCGCTCCCTTCCTCGTCCCCTCGTATTCTCCTTCTCTGCCCTTCTAGCCGCCACGTTTCATTACAGGGTTCGCTTAGGCAAAAGTCGTGGCAGACGCCCGGTGCGGTTCTGGCAAATCCCTGTCTAGGAAAATGCTGTTTCCCCCTTTCAGCAGAGCGCACCAACACAGCACATGGTCAACATACGGCAATCTCGCCATTGTCCGCTGAGAGTGCACCACGTATTGGTCAGTGGTGAGATAGGGATGCTTTCCGTTGCTAAAAGAGGCCATACAGTCCAAGTGTTACAGAGTCCCTCCATCAACTTCAAGATACCCGACTGGCGGGATGAATATGGAATAATTTGGACCGATCCACTTGGAGCACCAACAGCGCCACTGCCTGCGCTTGGTCAGCCTGCAAGATGGCGCAAAGCTTGCATGGCCCTCGGCTGGGGCCTTTCTACTTGCCCAAGCAGGCTGACTGTCGCTACCACCTTTTCCAACCTTCTCCATTGTCAAAATCCGAGAGTTGTCTCAGTCCTGTTCCCGCCGCTACGATTACCCCTCCATAAGATCCAGCGCTTTGTGTGAACACGGCCAGCCCAGCATTGGCGTTTCCAGTATTTCTCCTACTGAGTCCCCTACTCAGATCAGCGCCTGTTGGCAATGTGTACATCAATGCTCAAGTCTTGACCATCCACTCATCTTCGCTCGTGCGCTCAGAGCATTGCCGACATTATTTCTGGCTTTCCGGACACTTTTCACCGCCACCTCTCTCGAAAAAGTAATGGAACGCCTGAACCGGGATCTATGAAGGCGATATTCATAATCGCGCCGCAATCCAGAGGGAACCATTGGCGTATAGAAATGGTTCGCATCAAAGCTGTCCGACCGAAACGAGGCTGACCCTCTATCTGAGAGGAGGCCCACAGCCTCGCTGCCATCGTCACTCTTGTCGTCGTCACCATCGTCATCGTCGGCATACGATTTCTCAAAGGATGCGGCATGCTTCATTCCTGGGGATTCCCCTGCCGCAACACTGTAAGTTGATTTACAATTCTTGCTCTTGATCTTCGGCTTTTCCTGGCCTTGTTCAGGCGACTTTGTCCGCATCCGAGAGAAGACAACTGATATCCTCCTTTGCTGAGATTTGAGGATAGAGACATCCTTTTTCGCTTCCGAGACTCGGGGGAGCGCCGTGTGCTTCTGTCCCTTGGGCGTCACTTCGGCATGTGCGGAATTGCCCGCTGTTCGCTCAGGAATAACACTTGACTCCCTATTGCTTCGGGAATTGATGTCAGATACCATGTTCCTTCCGCGTTCCCTCGCTCTCTTGAGCAGCGACATCGGCATCCTTTTGCTGCTAACTTTGATGTGAAAGTCCATTTTCTCACTTTCGCGCCCACATTCCTCTGGTTGCTGGTTTTGCATTCGCTCCTCTTCCAGCCTTTGGCCCTGCAACTTTACGGCCTCTCGGATCTTCAGAATATACTCGGAAATTGCTTCAGACTGACCCCTTTGAATGGTGCAGTTGTCTTGGATCTTCTCAACAGCTGCCAAAGGCGTATACAAACATGGTTGCCAGGGGTCCTCGTCTGGCTCTGTAGATTCTTCTTGGATGCTGTCCATCCGCGACACTTTGTCCGACGCGACTCCTTGTGCCCTACCATCTGATGTTTCGCACAATGATTGAAGGATTGGACAAGGTATTTCCAAATCTGCCGATAACGGCGACGCTTGTCTGGGTGCACGCATGGATGAAAAACTGTCGAGGAGAAATTCAAACAACTGGCTGACTTCAAATAACAACAGGGCATATGAGACTGACGCAGAATCATCTGCACAAATGTGAGAGACTTATATGTTCAGAAATATATAACAATAGATTTATCCATGTTGGCCATGTCCGCCAAATATAGAAACAAAAGAGGGCCTATCACTGGCTTTCAACAAAGAACACATACCTTGAAACAATGAAAGTGCAGGGAAGAGAATATAATTGTCGAAATTGCCACCACAAACTATTGTCTTGGTCGAAAAAGAACAAAGAAGTTGCAGGCCCCAAACAAGCCGCTTCAGCCACTGGCTTTTCCAGCTTTGTCCAGTGCAAATGGCGCGCACCCTGACGTTACAGAAAGAGCTCGAGACCGGGTGAACTCTGGATAATTTGGGCCCGGAGCTCAAAATGGCTTTGGAACGCACGTGTACCAATCGACCGTCAAAATTGTAGAGTTCCAGATATGGCTTTGTCGATCAGTGCTGCCATTATGCGGCAATGGAGTTCCTGTATTCCTGCGCCGTCATCTCCACGCTTCTTCCAAGCATGATCACCTGGGGCCCATCATATTGCCTCATCAAAAGCAGGTAAAACATGCCCATGATGATAGTGAGTCCCCCAAAGATGACGCATGTGTAGTCTATACAAATATCAGCGTCGGTCCGATCTCAGCAGATGAGGAAGAGAAGGGGGAAAAAACAAGGAAAGACTCACTCATCGTCTCGGCGTCGACAGGCATGGCGAACTGCACAGGCGGTTAGCATCCTATCTATCATAAACGCCACCAGGTGCAGGGGGAGATGACGCACAGGAAAGCAGAAAATTACGATGAATGCCATCATGAAGAGACACGATACGGTGTTGACCACAAGTCCGATCGGGCCGGGCATCCAGAACCAACCTGGAACGACTCTTGTTCGTCTGGATAGCAAATTTGGTAATATCGCGGAAAGGTATGAAGCCATGGAGACTGTGCCGAGGGTCAGGAAACAATCTTTTGCGATGATTCAATGACTCGAGAATGGGAAGGAAGCGGGAGCAGATTTGGTGGGAGGTACTTACGGACGATGTAGGAGCTTGTGAAGGCATTGAAGGCCGTCAGGTTGCCGACGTAGATACTGGGAGCTTGTAAGCCAAGGCGATGTCTTCACATGTTGACGGCGAGGAACCAATTCCACCCCCAAAAAAGGCTCCCCTTTTGCGTCAGGTCAGGTACCTTACCATCCAAGAATTGTGCAAATCACCGCACACAGAACGATCGAGTTCGCAGGGACTTTTAGACGCGGAGATACCTTGGAGAAGAAGTCGGCGAAAGGAGTGGCGCGATCACGAGCCAGTGTCCAGAAGATCTACGAGGTCGTGATCAGAATCAATCATCCCTTGTAATCGCGCGCAGATTTGCATGTCTTACTCTCGAGGCCGTCAGATAACATCCCATGCACGCAATTGTTGTTGGTGCGAGGACAAGGAATAAAAGTCCAATCGCCCCGGCGCTGGTTCCTGTGCCTTGTCGGTAGATCTCGCCGAGCGGGAAGACGTAGGGCGTGCCGAAAAGGCTATCGAGATCGGTGAGGCCGTAGAGCACTGCGATTAGAAACAGCAGACCGGTGAGGAAGCCGACAATGTATTGCCAGAGCCTGTAATTGGTTCAGCGTCGTGTAGGAGGAAACGGCGGTAAGGAGAAAGACGCCCAATGTCTTACACTGCTACTGGGATGTTCCTGCTTGGACTGTCGGATCATGTCAGTACAGCAATTAACTCTCTGGTAGCAATGTGACCATCACCCACTTTTGCATCTCTTCCGCCAAATGACTCGTGAGGTCAGGCACTCCGACAGCAAACGCGCCGTTCAGCATTCCAAGTAGAAAAGCAAATCCTGAACTGCTATACCCAGTCAAATTGAGAAACGAGTCCCACACTTGGTGCGAAGTGGCATATTGCCTATGCTGCACGTGCGGCATGACAGCCGAGACAATCACCGTAATCAGAAAGCCGCCAATGATGAAGAATCCACCGATTTGCTCGAGCAGGGGGATCGCTTTGTTGAAGAAAAGCACCACAGCCGCGAAAAGCCAGGCACAGAACAAAAAGACCACAAAGACCTGCCATCGCTGGTAGTCGTAGTTTGAGGCGTTGAGCTGAGCCATGGTGATGATGATGGCTGCCGTGATCTGCAAGGTCACGGCAGTGGCGAAGATCCATGCGAAAAAGTTCCACCATCCTGCCAGGTAGCCGCATATACGGCCATAGCGACGGCCAGCCGTGACGCTGGCCCAGTGATAGACTCCCGCAGAGGAGGGAATGGCAGATGCAAGCTCGGCGACGCTGGCTGCGATGAACCAGTAGAAAAATGAGACGACAATGAATTCGTAGATTATGCCGGTGGGCCCGCCGTTGAAAATAGCAACGGCAATGGTCCCGGCGAGGGCTATCCACACGTTGCCGGTGGTGATGGCTGTCGACACGATGCTGAAGGAACTGAAGAGGCGGTCGAGCTCTTGTTTATGGCCAGAGACGTTGATGAGATCGTCATCTTGGACGTCGAGTAGACTCGACCGGCGCCTTGAATCGGGTCCTCCAGACCTTCTTGGGCGTGGATGATCGTCGGCGACCTTTTCATGCTCCATTCTGACTCGGGAAGGATGGGAAGTAAATTAAGAGCAATATATTCGCATCATCAAACATGGTATGCTTTTTGATGAAACTTGTATATAGCGGGCCGATCTTTCAACGATGGTGCAAGAAGAAAAAGGCTCATCACTCACCAATAGAGTTTTGTTGATAAGGGAGCTGGAGCTGATGTTCCAGCCTGGGTCTAGCAAAGATAAGCACGTAACACGCGAGCCAGGCAATTTACCCCGATCGTCGTGATCCAGGGAGCGTTTAGGACTAGGGAGACACGAGCCTCTAGTGTTCCAATTCAGTTCCATTGGCTCTGATTGGAGATTGTGGGCAATGAATTGGCTTCTTCGAACTCTTCCATCAGGACAGGACGGGGCGCAAAGTCGACGTATCGAGACAAGCGTCCAGGGGATGGGGCTTGGTCATCGCAGCTCGTCATGACACAGCGGCTTTCAATACTTGGCAGCCTTTGGCATCGCCTGTTATGACCGCGTCATTTTTGCTTCTAGAGAGGAAGATGTGAGTTGGTTCCTGGTGAAATAAGTGGCGACAGTACGAGAAAGGTCTACGGCACAACGCGGGGGGAAGGAAATTTCCAGCCGCATTTGGCGTTCAGTGCCGCCGCTTTTGGAAGGTTTCTTCCCTCGAGGTTCCGACATCAGTCCCCTATCAGGCTCGGCCGTTCTCCCCCTTGTACTTAGTAGTCTATGACTGACTTACCTTCTCGTACATCACGCAAGTATGCAACTATCACTGGGGATCAGAAACAGTCCCTCTTCGGACAGAATAAGGGATTCGTCTAACACCCTATGCGCCAGAGGTTGAGGCTTATCCAGTTCTATTTGGCCCCCTTCATCAATAAGCGACCGGTTACCCTGTACAAATTCCTCCACTGAGTCCTCGACACGAGGATGCTCCAAGACATCCGAGAGATTACATCCTTCTTTCCCTCTTGCTGTGTAAGTCTTTGAGTGCGGGTGTTTCAGGGCTTTCAGATGACGGCGCACATGAGCGTGTACCCAGCCTTTCCTTGCATTCGTCATGGGTAGTGGACCAGGTAATAAGCTATTTGCTAAATTCATTCCTCTCCTTGTTGTATACATCACGTTCCTCGAGAAACACCAAGATCCCGTTCATTCAAACTACCTTCCCAGAAGTTTCGTGGGGTTCCGAATGGCAATCCGCATGCCTCCGCGGCACGAAGCTCCGGGAGTGAATGCCTCCAGTGCGGAACATCTTGGCCCATTTCTCCCCCGAACTTCTCTAGAACTGAGGGCGGGAGCCGAAAATCGTTAGGGAGGAAAGATGCTTCAATTATTAAGAGATGATGGCAGCTCATCCAACCCCGAACCTCAGATGACCGGATCTCGAACGCGGCATTTCGTGAACCACGGGTCGTGGATTCGAGCTGACTTCAAAACAGGGGCTATTGCGGCATTGCAAAAAGTCTGGAGAAGCCCCCGTGGAGATAGGTATATCGTTGATCATTCCGGAACTAGCTATTCCGAGAACTTTGTAGCGGCCACCACAGGATCTTTAAAGAGAAAGGGACATGTATGCGTCTGAGGTATTGAGCGGACAAGTAGTCAGTCTATGACACCTCCTTGATCTCATTCAGCCTTGACAATTGTTTGGTGCCTTTGACCTTTGCATCTCCGAGCTCGTCACCGGCATCGATTGATCACAGCCGCAGGTATGACCAAGGTCGAGACGTTATCCGAAACCGTGGAACACGGCCCTGGTTTGGTGGCCAGGGAGAAGTTCTACCTCTACAACTATTTCATCGTCGCCATCATCGCTATCGGCGCGACCGCCTCGGGGATGATGACGGGCGTCATGAGCACCGCCCTGGGACAGCCAACATTCCTCGAATATTTTCACTTTAACACCGCCTCCTCGCAAGACACGGCTCTTATCGGCGCAATCAATGGTGTATATTTCGGAGGAGCCTTTTTTGGGTCCTTTAATGCCAGTTATGTCGCGGACCGTTGGGGACGGAAAACGGCTCTCATGGTTACAGCTTTCGTGGCGACCGTATGTTCCGGGTTAATTGCAGGTAGCGTGCACATTGCAATGTTGCTTGTATTCAGGTAGATGCTATTGTCCTATTAATATGTCCCACCGGCGACACTCGGCTGATCTCAATTAGAACCATCGCGGGTTGGACCTCAGGGGCCTACATCACTATTTGTTGTCTCAGCTTGTCCGAACTGGCACCACCACACCATCGAGGACTTATGGTCGCCTTGGTCGGAATTCTGAACTGTCTCGGCTATGTTATATCGAACTGGCTCGGTGTGGCTTTCTACTTTGTTCCGGCCGGCGGAGTCCAGTGGCGAATCCCTTTTGCGTTGTGCTGCGTTCCTTCCCTGATTGTCTTTGGTTCTGCTTTCTTCGTACCCGAGTCACCGCGATGGCTCGTGATGAAAGACCGACACTTGGAGGCGGCGGCCATTCTAAACAAGCTTCACTGCAGGCTGGGCGACGAGCAGTCGCAAGATTTCGTGAGGCTTGAACTACAGCAGATCAAACGCCAAATAGAGTTCGAGCGCAACAACGAGATCTCCTGGTGGCAAATGCTTACGGCGAAGCATTACCGGCGGAGACTCGTACTATGCATCATGACTATGTTGATGGCTCAGGTGAGGAATCCCTGCAACCCAGTGTCTCATCTGCCTGCATTAATCCCTTCCCAGTCCGCTGGCAATGTTGTCATCGTGGTATATGGCCCCGTCATCTACGAATCCCTTGGGTTCGGACCGGTCGCTCAGCTTTGCTTGACGTCAGGGTATGCGACGTCAGGCATGGTAGATAACTTCATCGGATCTTTTTTCATCGACAAAATCGGCAGAGTGAGAATGATGATTATCGGGATCGTTGCGCAGCTCGTCTTGCTGGCAATTGCCACAGGTTTGATTGCCGCATATGCCGGCACAACCAATTTTCCGGCACAGCGCGCCGTCGTCGCAATCTTCTGGCTCTTCATGTTAAGTTACGGTGCCCTGGTTGAAGGGGCTGCATTTACCTACATCAGCGAGATATGGCCAGCTCACCTCCGGGCCAGAGGATCAGCAATCGGAATTGCCACACTGTATCTAATCGACATGGTCTACGTCGAGTAAGTCAACCCTTGCGATCAGTTGTTTACTATATTCGAATGAGCATTGAAATGGAGATACTCGCATATAGGGCCTCCCTTTACGCGTTTTCAACGATTGGATGGAAATTCTATCTCACATTCCTGGCTTGTGGAACAGTCTTCCTCTTTATTTTCATTCTTCTGGCAAAGGAGACCAAAGGAAAGCCCCTTGAGGAGATAGGAAAGCTGTTTGGCGATGACCTGATTGTCAAGACCCAAGACGAAATGATCAAGGCCGAGAAGGAGGTCTTCGAATGCGAAAATTTGTAAAGCGTGGTCTTCCGATGGCTGAATCGAGCGTGAGGAAGTACGAGGCGCGGCATTGAGAGAAAGACAACTTGGACCACCATTAGCCTCTGAATATCTCGACGGAGGTTCTATCCACTAGCGGATTATTGCTTCCTTTTTCACAATCACTAGCAAATATCTATCCGTTGGTCGTGGTTCGTGCCGGGGAGGGCCGGGAAAATGAAATGAGTTGATCGAAAGAAGTTGTTATCTTATACGTATGGACTCAACGCCTTCCCAGGAGCAGCAATTCCTTTGGGCAGCAGCACCGATTTCGCTCTCACTAGGTAAGAACCCAGACCAGGGTTTCTAACTGACTGCCTCACTTCCATTCGTACTATGGGGGAGAAACTGCTTGCATGAACTTGCGCTAATTGATGTTGGGGTGGTCTAAACCCTCAGGCCCACGACAATTCCGTCCGTCTACGGTGGCAACGAATTTCTCCAGGATGTAGTCTGCGACAACTATTTAATGCGTGCGGAGAGGAGACTCGATCCGATTCGAGATATTTCCTCCCTGTGACTGCCGAACAAACGCAGGAATGCCGGTTGGTGGTCAATACGAAGCAGACCTGCCACCGTCTATGGTAATGCAAGTCGCCGTGATGTGGCTTGCCATGGAACTCGCGAGAAAGATGCATGTGTCAGCCACTTCGTCTGGTTGTGCTAACCGCCCCATAGGGGTGTTGTACATATCTGCAGGCTTCCATGTATCCGAGGTTGCGTTCCCGTCAAGGGATAAAGTGCCTGAAGACTTATCTCTCTTTTCAACCAGGACTTGTTGTCTTCTCCTGGCAATCATGGGCGTTTCGACTAGGCCGGGACAGACAGCGTTGATACGAATTTTCTCAGCTGCATGATCAATTCCAGCACTTTTGGTGATTCCAACAACAGCATGTTTTGAGACGACGTACGGAAACATTTTGGGAATGACAGAGAATGAACACGTTGAGCCGATGTTGACGATGCTTCCCCTCTGAGCCCTGACAGGACTGTGTGTGTATACCGTGACAGCAGGTTCCTGTTCCGACATGGCTTGGATTTCAGACTGAACGCAAAGGAGGAGACCTCGTGCATTGACGGCTTGGATATCATCATATTCCTCGGTCGGGTATTTGCTGGCAGAGACGCGCGCTTTGACAGATATCTTGGGGCCAGTAACTGTTAGCGACAGAGCGAGAGCCACGTGCATGGAAGCGTGGGAACACAGAGCAGACTGACTTACCCCTGCGACATTGAACGCTGAGGCGAAACATGAGTCAGCTTCAGAGTGAACATCATCCGCAGAGTATGAGGCTATCTCGTAGGATTTATGGAAACAAAGGTACTACTTACCGTAGTCGAGCCTGCCGAAAGCCTCTGTTGACTTTCTGACCATACTAGTCACTGACTCTGGCTTGCTGACATCAATCAGCAGCGGAAGGACTTGGATATCCGCACGGATTGACACGATGTCATGTTCGACATCTTGAAGGGCAGCTTGATTGACATCCGCAATCACAATCGCTCGGCATCCGCTTGTTGCACAGGCAAGCGCGACAGCTCGCCCTATACCCGAACCTGAGCGGGTTAGTCCTTGATGTTCATTGAGCCTGTCCTGTTAAAAAAAAAAAATAGTCCCATACCACCGCCAGTCACGAGCGCGACCCCGTTCAGAAGCTGCATTTTTGGGTGTGCGTTGCGAAATCCTTTACAATTGTTCCGGGACGTATGGTACCAACATATAGAGGAGGGGAGGGGCCGAGGGCCCTAGCATTTATTTCACATCCCGGTTGTTCTGATTGCGCTGATGGTCAGCACACATAGCAAATCCAAACAACTGATATAACGGTCCCGAGAACCTCGGAACAAGCCCGTGAATAAGAGACGCTTTTCCGAGACCAGACAACCCTTCAGCTTGGTTTGTGTAGTAGCGGTACAAGGATCAAGTGAGAACCTCATTTGGTGGTTGGCGAAAGTCTACTACAGTCAATTATCGGATGACATTTCATGCCCTCTGGGCTGTTTAGAATGCGTGCATGACTTTGCTACCAGCCACTCCTCATTGGCATCTCGAATCCCGTCTTGATCCTGCCATAGGTCATGGATCAACCACCCCTTCCTCTGTCAAATGCTCCGCGGTGCTTTCTCCCAACTCTTCTCGCAGTGTTCGGCCATATCCGAGATAAGAAAATCTGTTGCGTTGCATGTATGTCAAATTGTAATCCTCGAAACGGGGCTTTTCTAGAGCTTCATTGAAGTGCCACGAGGAACCAGGCCACGGCCCTATCACAGGGCCATCGATCCTCCCATTTTTGTACCTGCCAACAAACACAAGGCGTCGTCAGATGGTCCGAAAGGGCACTCAGAAATGTTCACTCACCAACTACGACAATCGCCACTCCAGACAAACGCCTTCATTGACTCGTTCCGGTGTTCTATGAAGTCCCGCATCGCTTCCTCTTTGACATCCATAGAGGTGATATTTTCAGTTTGCATCTTCTCAACGCAGCTGTAGGCATAGTCCAGCTCGACCTCGAGTCCTGAGATCAGGGACCCATTTGCAATCGGACTATTAGGGCCTCCGATGACTGCGTATCATTAGATCATATTTGACAGTGAGATGGTTACTTGCTGAACTGGTGACCTACTAAAGTAGTTCGGAAATTTGGGAACTGCAATTGACAGATAGTGCAGGGGTTCATCGCTCCAGTATTTGCTAAGATTTCGACCGTCCACCCCAATGACCGGAAATGCCGGTCTGAAAGATGTGTCGAAGCCAGTTGCACAGATGATAGCGTCAACGGCATGATAGTTACCATCCTTGGTGACGAGTCCTCCAGAATCAATGTGATCAATTTCGTCCATGATCACCTGGGACTTACTGGCAACAAGCGCTTCAAGGTATCCGCTTCCAGGGGTGTATCTTTTCGTCTGTTAGCAGAGCGACGGAATCTAGATCTTCCAATGATATTACATACCTTCGGCATCCTACAGGAAACTTTGGTATCAATCGTGCGGCTATCTCTTCGTCTTCATTCAATCTTTTCCTCATCATTGCCGAGAAGTTCTTAACAGCCTCCAGTTGACGCGGCGAGCCCTTGTAGAATGTCCCGAAGTTAGAACTCCCAGTGTTTTGCACCAATTTCCTGTACTGTAGAAAGTACTTTTTGTCATCTTTAAAGCGCTGAATTTGCTCCGAGGAGAATTTAGTGTCTCGGCCTTCCATTGCCAGTGATTGGCTGAACTCTGGTGTGATCCAGGTTGGAGATCGAATAAAGTTGATCATCCTGCGAACCTCTTCAAGAGAAGGAGAGTCAGCCTTGCTTTCTTGATGTCTCAAGACTCGTCCATACTCGGAGTGAGATTCGGTACTATTTGTATAGCAGAAGAACCAGCACCGATAACCGCGACGTTTTTGTCCTTGAAATCATACGAATCGTCCCACCGAGCGGAATGAAGCAGCTTGCCCTTGAAATCGTTGAGCCCGTCAATCGCAGGCCACTTCCAGTTGCTGGAGACGTATTGTTAGCCAATGCTCCCACTCTTGTGTAGCGTTTGGTGATGAAATACTTTAAAACTCCAGTGGCGCTCAGCAGCACATCACAACGATCGTGCATCAGAGCACCAGTCTCCAGAATTTCGGTGGTAATATCCCATACTGAATCGGAGGAAGACCATTCCGCTCGAATGACTCGATGGCCCAGTTTGATGTATTTCATGCAGTCCCATTTGATTGCACATCCTTTGAAATAGGCATGAATCTCCGGGGCTTCTGCGTAGCTAAGGGAAGTTAGAGAAGATACCCATCGGCGTTCAAATGTAGGGTTCGGCGGAGACAAACAATCGCGACCATTCAGGATTTCCTTCCCAAGAATAGGTATATCCGTGTGCGGGTATATCACAAGCACATCCAGGGTATCGATTCTCCAGCCAGGTACCACCGACATCGTAGTTCTTCTCGTAAATGGTGAACGTGATCTCGCTTAATCGTCGCTGATACTTATATGCTGCAGCGATCCCGGCAATGCCTGCGCCGATACAGATAATGCGCATAGGGCGTTTCTTGTGGATGTGGTCTTGAGAAACGACGTACGGGGCTTCAGCCCGGCAGTCTGATTCAAGGCCTCCATTTCCATATGTCGATTGGGCCCCTGTCAAATCTGGTGTATTACAATCCATAACAGACTCGCCCATGACGGGTTTGAAGGCCTCTCCCCTTAGCTAGACAGGAGAGCTTGGCTTAGCGATTGATAAATCTCAAGTGGCTCAGCTTAAACATAAGTTCATATGAAACTGGTTCTGGGCCCAAAGCCAAATCAAATACCTTTTACTGGCCTTGCGGTCGCCACTTAACGTCTGAGGCCATCTTCAGCACAAAGAGATGGCACGGCGCCTCTGTCTTACGCAGTCTTACAGTGGTGCTCAGGGCGTGGTGCGGAATGCTATGGTCAGTATTGGGCCTTCGTAGGTTCGGATAGAACCGAGGAATATCGGAAATAAAAGCCAATCGGAGGCGGCCAAGTGTTCCGATAGAAGGTTCCGAGATTCCGGACAGGCTGTACGAGGTAGTTCCACAATTAGGGGGTCAGCCTCGTACAGTCCAGCCGTCGCCATTCATTGAAAGAGCAGCATTCTAGCCCAACGCAACTTGCCCAATTCCCCGGGATTGGTTAGGCGAGACGCTCCAGTGCTATAGAATTAAAGTCAAATTTTGAGAAATGGTGCAAGTAGACAATGGATCGAGAGGAGGTGGACTATCTTGAAAGCAATAATACTCAGACCTGAATTTATGCAGAGTGTTCTTAATCCTATGTATGGAGAGCGTACTCTCTAACGGTAGCTAGCCGCACTCGTCTTACCTCGTAGACGGTTCTCCTCATCTGGTAACCATTCGGCCTGATTAAATGCCGAATTAAGCCGGCGGTATGGGGTTAATGAGCTTAACAGAATGTTCCTCTTGCTTATGTGGCTTATTCGTTTTCCCCATCTGCGACCCTCGATTTGATGAGCACAGGAAGAGGGCCCATGACTAACGATTGGAAACTCTGGATGCTGCTCTCGAATGCTTCGTGATCAAAGTCGTTCTGTAGAATGACATCGAAATTGTGTACAATCATTGCAACGAGAAGTCGCAACTCGTTCAACGCAAGTTGCTTTCCTGCACAGGCGTAGGCTCCTGTTTGAAAGGGGATCCACGCTTGAGGGTTGTGGTTCCAGGTTGGATCGCGCTGAGTGTCATCCCATCGCTCTGGAACAAACTCTAGCGGCTTAGTGAAGTTCTTCGGGCTTCGTTGAACCGTTAAGACATGTGTGGCAACCTATGAAATGGCTGTCAGTATACTGGTTTTAGATGGCTGATAATAATCTCTATTCAACTGACCTGTGTTTGAGGAGGAATTGCAACCCCATCCACGTCATGCCAAGCACCATCTAGAGTACGACGTTGTTGATGGTTGGGACCAGGAGGCCAGATACGGAGCGCCTCGTAGATGGCCCCGTTTAAATATGGGCACTTATCTGGTGCTGCAAACTGTTAGCAATCAACTGAAACAGCTGTGTCTACCCAGTCCGTACTCAGTAACTCTGAAGCGATGGGCTTTTCTTTCAAAGCATGATCGACTTCATTCCGGAGTCTCGAATAAACAATTTTGTCTCGAGCAATAAAGTAAAAGGTAAATCTGTGTGGACTGTGAGCATATCAAAATGTATCCGCGATCTACTAACATACGTTGAAGTAATTGAGCTAGTATCACTTCCAGCTATAATTAAAATAGGGGCGTCTGCTTCGACATCTCTTTCTTTGGTCTTCCTGCGAGCAAGGAGTCAGCCCAGTGTGAAATTCGCTAGTTATCTTAAAGAAACTTAAACTTACACCCCGTCCTTGTTCCCAGCCAAGATATGTGTGAAAATGTCATTTGGCACTGTACCTTTGGCTCGTCTCTCCTTATAGGACTGCTTTGATAGCGCTTTGAATCGCCCCGCATATTCCTTGAAGTCTTTGTTCATTGGCAGTAGATAAGCGACGGGAGACATCCAAGGCACGTTCGAGATGATGTTTCGAAGCCGGAGGCCACTTCTAATGGCTTTTGAATAGTAGCGCGGGCCATCTGCACCGATGTTAATCTTTGAGGTCGATGGGTTCTGTGACAGTGCGTTTATGAAGTACCATCATTTAGGAGGCCAAACGACTTGCTGAAGGCCAAGTCACCCATCACGTCAAAAGTGACGTAGTCGAGCCAGCATCTAAGATCGATAACTTGCCCTATACTTCCTTGAGTTTGTCTTCGACCGAGGTCATTCTATGACGCACCGTCGAACTCTTTTAGTCGAGCACAGAGAACTTCCAAAAGAGCTATAACACGTGGTTCATAAGACTTAAGCTGGTTTTGGGTGAATCCGTGGTCCCACATACGTCGGCGGACCTTGTGGTCGTACCAATCACGGCTATTTGGCATGGCAACCCCTGAAGAACCGTACACAGACCCGTCATGATATGGACCCTTCGGGAGCCTGGAGCCTTGGGGTCCATGTAAGTATTTGATCGAATTTGCATCTCCAAAAGATAGCTCGTTAGGCCCAATTCGGACAATGTCACCATACTGTTGAAAAAGAACGATCGAATTAGCAGAACTAAGTCATTGATACAAGGGATGGGCTCAGTACTTTTTCATGAAGCGCTGGGATAATCTCATGAAGCTTGCCGGTCGAGGCCCAATAAGCGCCAGTCCATTTCGTTAGTTTCGCAGAATACGGTCCAGGGAATTGCCTTAGAGGGTGGAAGAAAAGGCGATATACGGAAATACTGAGTCTGGAACCAGGAATCATCAGCCGAAGCCCGATGTAGCGTCTGATATTTTACTTACCCCAACGCGGAAAGTTCAACCAATGGAAAAGTGATCACCGCTATCATAGTTGACTTGGGGTTTTGAGAACCTAGGAACGCAATTCCGGCGAAGACTCCCATTGTCCGCAGGAAATCGAGGGTGAAGCTTCTATTCGATCATTAGCTTGAAGCATCATTCAAACCTAGAGCAATATTGCTCCTGGAAGGGAGTGGCGTATCTGACCGTATAGTCGGCTCATGTCGATTATAGACGGCGTGCCAAACCTGTAATGTCGGTAAGTGCCACATCACACGTAGCAGGTAAGATACTTACCAAGCCAGTTCCTATTGCAGCAACGGCTGCCGCTACGGGTGTCATAGACAACAGGTGCAGATAGTTTGACATTGTTGTACTAGATGCGGAATATACAAATAAGTGTAATGCAACGAAATCCAAATAAGATGGCGTGTGATATCGGGAGGACACAAGCTTGTTATGATAACTTCATATCATCCATTTAGGCTAAGAAATTCTTTGAAAGGAAATCCATTCGACTATCCCATAGGTATCATACCGATGAGCTGTGACTTTTGACACCTCGGTAGTGAACTGGCTCCCAATAATCTGTACCAGAGCGGATTTCCGATGCTCCGATGGATAAATTACCTTTCCGGAGCTCCAGAAACATGTTGAGGCTAGGCAATGACCACAAATTATTTCCTTCTTCGAGCGAGGTCATTAAAGTCCATTTCGGAAAGGTATCTAGGGTGCCACCTCTGACTTGTGATCTAGCGGAACTGCAGGGAGCTCCAATGTATGTAATACCGGCCATCTTCACAAACACGTGCCGTCATAGGACGCTATTTCTTGCATGTCCCTTCAGGAGCCTACTTCGAGTAGGAATACCAAGCTGTATAATCTAACTTGTGAAGTCACACTTTCCGCGATGCAGACATCTCAAGTTGCTCTGGTAACCGGTGGTGGTGAGTACGCCCTGATAGCTGCTCTTTGGGAGGGTAGCTGTCGCGAAAGCACTCACTCACAATGTAAATTGTTGTTAGCCTCTGGAATGGGCCTTGCAGTTGTCGAGAGCCTTGTTGAGCGAGGATGGAGTATTACCCTTGTGGACAAGGATCGCAATGCCGGAGAACGGACGGCGAAAAGATTAGGTGCTCGGGTCATGTTCGTTGAAACAGATGTGACCAATTATGAAGAGCAAGCCGATGCATTTGCAGCTACTTGGAGGCGCTGGAACAGACTTGACCTTGGTAGGTTACCCATCTCCACAATGTAGAGCCTTTGTTGATATTAAGTCAGTGTTTGCCAACGCTGTACGGCCACTGTCAAACACACATCCTCGTGGAATTTGACTAAGATTTGATTCGATTAGGGAGTCTCTGACCGGACGGATATCGTCGAACCGGCAGAGGAACAGGAAAATGGTGCACCTCAGAGGCCTGATACGTCGGTCTTGGACGTCTGCCTGCTGGGAGTTGTGTACACGAGCTATCTAGCTCTTCACTTCTTTCGGAAAAACGAGTCGAAGGGAGGAAGCCTAGTGATGACTAGCAGTATTGCTGGCATCTACCCAGCTCCAGGTGTTTCTGTGTACGGAGCGGCAAAACATGGTGTGAGTCCACGTGTTTTGCATTCTCTCTTTGTATTTCTGAGCTGATGAAGGCGGAATAGGTTATCGGGCTAACCCGGTCACTGGCATACAGACTCCAAAAGCGCTGCGAGCGGATTACAGTCAATGCCATTTGCCCAGCTTTCGTAGCCACGGGATTGGTGAACCCAGATTTAGTCAAGAGGGTACCGGAAAAGTACATTACTCCTGCCGCAACGATTGTCAGGGCGGTCCATGGATTCGTTGAAGATCGCGACCTCAATGGAGAGGTTGCCGAATGCAGTGGCAGTGAGATCTTTTATCGACCGGGTCTCTCTTTTAGCAATGAAGGATCCGAGTGGTTGATGACGGGTGGTCTGAAGTCTTTACTGGGCCCAGGAGAGGAGCAAGCTGTCAGAAAGTAGTAGATATTAATCTGACCAAAGCAAACGCTGCATCCCGCGACGTCTTATACTACCCACCCCGGGGCCCTAGCAAGAACCCACAGAGTAGGTCAATAAACAAGTCTTCCCTTCATCACAGAGCTTTATGCCTAGAGCGTAGGGATCTTCACTGCAATCGTTGGTGGTCATCTCTGAAGTGGTCTTGCGTATTAGTCCATCCATACTATTTAGATGAGTATCATCACCATGAGAAGAGAAGAGCGGCAAACCTGCAATGTCCCTCTGCATAAACTCGGACTCCATGTCTTTTCATCCCTACCCCTTCCTCTTTCCCATCACATAAGGGGCCAATGAAATACAGTCTATGTTCGGCATCCTCTATCGGCTTGGAGGATTCTAACCGAAGGTCTCTTGAGCTTGACCCCGCATTTCCCAAGTTTCTTGACCCTAAATTCTCTCCCGACTTCGTGCTGCCGGACTCGCAACAAGGCAACTTAATTGTTCCTTTCCGGCCACAACGAACACAGCGGACAATGTCATGCTTGCAAACTTCTCAAACGCCACACTCAAGCGCGAAGCGCCGGCCATATGCATCCAGGGCCTGGTAAGCTGAAAGGCTTTGCTCGGTGATGAGTCTAACCATGTTCAATTTAATAGTGTTGAATGTCAAAGGCGCAAGACCAAGGCAGGCTTCGCCGCAATCTTTCCTTCAGGTTTCCCAGTCACTAACTTGAAGGGGAGTGCACCGAGGAACGACCTTGTCCAAGTTGCCGCACTCGTGAAGTAGAGTGTAAGTCGTTGGAAATCGACACAGACCAGCATGTCGCATCAAAGCGTCCGAAGTTGAAACCTAGGACAACGTAAGAATCTAGACATCATCATTTTCTAACGAAGCTCACTTAACCGTGTGACAGTGAACCTGTGGCGCCACGTACCCTCTTCACAGAGACTCAACAGGCGAAGGGATCTCTGAAGGGAGACAATGACGCACTAAGGGAGGAGATACGGAGGCTTCGTCAGGACGTCGACCTTCTCTCCAAAGCTAACAATGTAAGTCGTCATGCCAATGTTCATGTTGCACTTTCTCTTAGAACTTCAGGCAAAAGAGCCATTGCGGCACCATCAATCCGATCGCCGGATGGACAGTACTCAACAACATTCTGAATATCTCTATCCGATGGAAGGCCAAACAACCTTACCCCTTGAGGAGGACGAACACACACCACGCTCGTCTTACACAGACACATTCAATCCCTCGAACCTGTGGGCGAGTCCAGATGCTATAGCGAATAAGATCAGCGCGATAAGAGGCACTATCCTCCCCGATTCCCTCGTGAGGGACTCCATCTTTCTGAGCAGCAATAAGAAGTTTCCTCTGACGCTCCCGCCGCCAGCGCACTTACGGCATCAAATTGATCTTTTTCTACGTGAATTTGGCGACTGGACCCCCTACTTTCGCCACTCTAGTCTCAAGAAACAAATCGCCATTGCCCTGCATTCGGTTTCATACGGCGAGCGACGAGTCACGATACACATTCCCTGGCAACACTGTACCACATTTGCTATTCTTTGCACGATACTTTCCAATGCTGAGATTGTAGTGTCTAACAACAGCACTATGGATTCAAACACCGGCCAACACTGGTTCTCACAGGGTAAAGAACTCATGGAGACATTCGAAGACATAATTGGAGACTCTCTTGGGGTTGTCGTATATCATATGCTGGCTGCTGGCAGGATGATGGAAGCTGAGAGACTACGCACGGCTGCTATCCACATTCTCCGAGCTTTGCAAGGGGCACTAAGTATTGGTCTGAACGACAAGAACCGCTGGAAACAAGAGCCCGACGACATTGTTTCGAAGAGGTGTGTATGGTGGGTCCTGTACTTTCTGGAGAAGCGAATACATTACAAATGTGGCGTTCCCTATCTCTTGCGCCCCGCGGACGTCAATGTGGAGGATGCGCTTCGTATGTGCGGTGAATCCGAGATCGACGACGCGAGACTCGACTATATAGAAGGCATGATCAGTTATACGAAACTATGGACGTCCATTTGGTCCGACTTCCTAGCACCCAACGCAAGTCTTTCCGGTATATGGTCAGAAGTGCAGGTCGCAGACGCCAGAGTGATGATCAACTATCGAGAACTTCCACAGAGTCTGCTATGGGATACCGGCAAAGTCCAGGAATATATGGATAATGGAGCTAGCGAAACAGACATGCGTCAGAAACTACAAGCATTCCTGGTGGGTGAAGTCCAATTGTCTGACCTCCCAACCTCTGCTGACGGATACTATCAAGTGGCACCAGTCTTTGCGGCTAATAATTCGACAGACGCGAGTCTCGTCCGCACAAGGGGACGTTGAGCGGCAACGATCATGCTTTAGCATCTGCAAAGACATTGTTGCAGCTATTGCCAGCTACATGAAGCACTTTCTCTGCATGCGACCGATCGGGTATTTCTTGACCTGCTCACTTGTCGATTGCATCTTCCAACTCAAACAGGAGCAGATCGGCCAATCGACTTGGCTCGACCAGACGGAATTACAGAAGATTTTCGGCGAAATCACACACTTGCTCGAAACTCTGGCCCTGTCCGTGGGGTCCGCGCAACGGGCTCTCGCCGCATTGCGTTGCGCACTCATCATGCCTCGCGAAGTAGACTGTGGGCTGGACTTGGAAGGCACTCCGAGCTTTCTGGAGCCTGTTCACAACGGGACACATGTCACCTTCACTGAAAGAGACCAAGATCTCCTAGACGGGTACTCTGATGCAAGTATCGGGGAAACTCTCAACTTTCTGGGTCTAATTCCAATGTGATGTGTATAGAAGACAGGATGCGGGATAGTGCCAGGGAGGAGTCAAGTCTATTGCCCAAATCCAAATGAGCGGCTCAACGGCTTCGTGCTTGTTTTGAGGGGAAGGGGGGGAAACCTTGAAGACTTGCGCCAACTTCGATCAAGTTTGACATCAATATTAACAGACTCGGCATGAATACCTTTTGGAACTGGTGGAGGCGAACTAATTCTATCCGTTTATGGACTTAAAGACGCTAAACCTGACCCTTGATCAAAGAATCTATTTCCATTTTGTCTCAAAATCTGTATGGCTCCGCAATGAGAACCAACATCTTCCATGTTTCATGGACTTAATCCCAGAAATGCAAGTCAGTACCCCATCGTTTGAGATTCAAGCAAGCTCGCAAACGACTCGGTCACGACTTTATTACTAGATAGGACATAGACGGCTATATTGGCAGCAAGTCCTTTTCAGGCACTACACAATATCCCATGGAGTATCAGAATTCCTGATGAAAGGAGTCAGCCTTTCTACTGTTCCAGCAACATCTGCCTCGGTAAGCCCATTGCCCAAAAATGCCCAGCAGTCGTCTGGATGCTTATAAGTGATGTGGTAGTGCTCAAACTGAGGGGTTCGTAGCGTTTTGAGCAAGTGCAAGAGTGACCCGCCCCAGATGTAGACTCGGCCTTCGGGTTTGTTTTTCTTGTACCAGCTGGCAAAAGAGAGAAGACAGGGTTAGTAAGAGGCTGGGACGGAAGCATTTAAGTGCTTGTGTGTGCTCACCTGCGACATTTCTCAGCCCAGACAGAATATTTTGCGTGCCATGCGTCCATATGATTATTGAAATCTGTCGTGGGTCTCTGCTTCACTTCCATAGACTGGATCTTGTGTCTTTGCATTTTGTCGATGCATTGGATCGTGTATTCAATCTGGACTTCGTGCTATCGAGGACACCAGCTTTCAGTACAATATTACTTAGGCGGAAGTTCTGCAACTTACAGATGGAAGGGCACAACCCTGTCCCCAATTTCCCCTAGGGCCGTTGATGACCCAGTAATTCGGAAAACCCGGGCCGGCGATGGAGCAGTAGATGTTTGATTCCTATATCCAGCAGTCAATCCAGCTGTCGACAACGACCTTGCACGAATAGCAAGGGGGAAAACGTGATGGTATTTACCTCTGCCCAGTGTTCCTGCATGACTATGCCATTGACGCCGGTAATCTTGCTGCAATATCTTTGTCAATCCATTTGCGGTTGTGATTTATACTCGGCAAGTACTAACAAGTGCGGTACATAAGCGGTTTCAAATCCGGTTCCACAAGCAATAATGTCTACCTCGATCTCTTTGCCGCTGGAGGTCAACAGACCTGTTGGGGTGATTTTGACGATTTCTTCGTGCACAGTGGATACATCTGGGAAGGCGAACGTGGTCAGCGATAAGCACACAACAGGTCAGAAGCTATACACCCACGTGGTTGAGCCAGTGCCTCAAGGTAGCCCTCTCCAGGCTGCAAGGTGCATTAGGTCGGTGGACAATGACAGCTCAGCCGCTCGCAGGTACTCACTGTCATTCTTCGACAACCAGGAGACCAATCTGGAATCATCTTCTCTAGCAATTCTTCGTGACCAGGACCGAGCTTCTTTAGCATATCCGCCCTGAAGATCTTCTTAGCAGCTTCATTGTCTGGAGTGCCGCGCAAAAAGACCGAGAACTTTTTCCCCATCTTGGACTCCAGTTCTTTGCGATAGGAGAGATGGAAGTCCTCGTCGTCCCGAAAGGACCGTTTGTCATCCTCGGTGTAGGTGTGTCTACCAATTATGGCCTCGCGGTTCGATGTCTCCAGTTTCTGCATATCTGGCGGGATCTGTGGAGAGATCCAGAACCGATTACGCATGAAAACAGTTAAGGTCTTTGCGCCTACAGTGAAATCAATATGGCAATAAGAGAAATAACGGAGACAAGGCAGACCCTTTGCGAGGTTTGGTACCATTTGAATAGAACTTGAGCCGGTCCCGATAACGGCGACTCTCTTGCCTGTGGGATCAATGGTTTCATCCCAGGCAGCTGAGTGTGCTAGCTTGCCGCCGAAGCTGTGCAAACCCTCAATGACAGGCCCTATCCTCCAGCATCAGAACTTCCTAGGGCTAGGTGAAGGCGAAGGCTTAGTTAACTTACACTTCCACTTATTGACAACGCCAGATCCATTGATCAAAACGTTGCACCGGTCGTGAAATATATTGCCATTATGCTGCACTTTGACATCCCCTTGAGGCGTTCTCACGGTCAGTGATTTGGCCTACGAAAGGATGCCACTCGTAAACATCATAATTGTTCGCGAAAGACTTACAAGCTCCCTCGATTTCATCCCAGGTTGCGCTAAGAACTTCGTGTTCAAGTCTGACAAAGGGTTCCAGCTCGTACTTCTTATAGAAATTCATGAAATAGTCCTGGATTTCGCTGCTGCCAGCGTAGAATGCTGACCACTCCGTGTTTGGCTCAAATGAATATGTATAGCAATGTGCTGGGATGTCGCAAGCACATCCTGAGCCAAAGGTGCGACAGTCAGTCATTCAAAAGACATCAGCCGTAAGATGGATTGATGTTCAAACCTGGATATCGGTTTTCCCACCAAGTGCCTCCGATCTCAGGGTTTCTTCTGAAGGTCAGCACAGGGGATATTCTCCCTGCGTACGAGGATTTGCAGCGCTTACTTTTCATAAAGAATGAGTTCGAAGTTCTGAAGCATCTTTCTGGCCTTATAGGCCATCAGAAGGCCAGAAGCTCCAGCCCCAACATGGATTATCTTGATATGGTCTGGTTTCGAATGAACCTGATCTAGGATCTCAATCGTGGGCGTAGGAGGGTCCACGTGAGGCATCTTCTCGTTATGCCGCTGAGGCAGAGAAATGTTTTATGGTGCTTGTGATAACTAGAAAAGAATGAAAGTCGTTTGTACCAACAATCATGAAGAAAAGTTGCACGAAGGTCATCAATGATGTACCAGAAAGCGATTGCCATTATCTTACTTTTTCCTAAAGAGATATAGTAACTGATGGCCCCATCGCTTACCTAGGCTTCATGCCTCCTCAGAGGCGTCGCGGGCAGTCTGCAAAGCATAGGACTGTATGTTTTCTAGACCTCGGCTGGAGATTACATCGAGGATGGCAGTCTCTTGCACCACACATTGACTAAACACGGCTTCCGCGGGCGACTCAGAATATCCATTCCGAAAGCTCTGTTCCGAAACGTCCAGTACCACTTCCCTCATTGAAAGATGTAGGGTATTGGAACTGGCTTGGTCTGACCCTGGCTGAAGAGCATCGCAAGTTCTGATACTGGACAACATAATTCGTATCCATACTGCAGCCGAGGACCCAAGAGGACGCTCTTTGGCAAAGCCGGGGGCCAAGGAGAATGTCTCGAACGAATCCACCGCTCAAGAGCAGACCACCCTCGATAGTGACCGTCTGTACTCGAAATCGAACATGTCAAAGACAATGACGGCTTGAAGTTCATACCCGTAAGAGTCCCCGTAAGGATCCTAGTCATCCACGCCCAATTGGGATTATAGGGCCAGAATCAAGATTCTGAATGCGTGCTATTCCTATCTGGAGAGCAATGGCTCTCGCATATCTATGGTGTGCCGGAGAGTGCCAAGCCAATAGGGCTGCCCTCGCGTCGCTAAATTTCTTATCGCAAGCTGTAGAACCTTCAAAGCCCTCACAAATTTACCAAATCTGCAGGGTCTCGCCGCTCCAATTTTTGTCTTAAACGATGCGCTTTCAATGCCATCAAAAGCTTCTGGAACTGCTCCTCGTCTCCGTTCGATGGACCGACACAGGTTGCCGTTGCTGCTAAGATGGGTCCCTCAAACTCCGCACATTGATCGTTTGCCACGAAAAGCGAGTTGCCGTGGTATTTCGGATCTGTCGCAAGCTTGGCCACCGCGAGGCCAATGGCTGAGGCTGGTTGTATTGGTACACCTACGGACTTGAATGTGTCGAGAATGCCTGCTGTGATGGCAGACTGTGTCCATCCGGGAGCGACTACGTTGAGACGTACAGGTATTTTAGGATATAACTGCGTCTTCATGGCCCTTAGGAATCCAATGATTCCGTGTTTAGCGGAGGCTTCACGACATTGTTAGTATTTTCGTCAAATAATAAGGTCGGGAGGGCGTAGGTCAAGAACTGACTATAGGATGCCGATGTAACTCCTTCGTAACCAGCCCCTGACGCGGTCATGACAATGCTCCCACCCGGTGGTTGTTGTCGTTGCATGTGATAGACTGCCAAAGCGACCGTGTTCTGACATCCGAATAGGTTGATCTCGATTGGACGTCGACTTGGCTCCAGAAGCTGCCCTTCGTGTTCCTTCAAAGTGACGTAGTCCGTAACGTCGGCCACTCCAGCGTTGGCAAAAACAATGTCAACTCGTCCGTACCGATCCATTGTGACTTGGAACAAGCTCACTAGATCTTTCCATGATGCGACGTCGGCTTTGACAAAATGAGCTCGAGACCCTAGTCCTTCAGGTGGACGTTGAAGATCTGCGACAATGACTGCTTGAGCGCCCTTGTTTAGAAATAGCTTTGCTGTGGCAAGACCAATGCCAGATGAACCACCTGTGATCAAGGCCACCTTGTCGTGCAAACCCTCGAGCTCTGATTCACGGACCTTGAAATAGTGAATTGCCATGACGCCAATCGAAAATGAGCATAAGTTACCCTGAAGGCTTGAGAGAGGCACAGGGAAGATTTAAGGCAATATAATGTGCAAGTAGATCCTTGGCGAGGTAACCTATCCCCGTGGAACTAACCTCTACCCAATCGGAAAGTACGTCTGGCAAGACATGAGCTGGAACGAGGACGGTGTTGTGAGCGCTAGTTCCGAAGCGCATCTCCAAGCAAACTATATTTCCCCCGAGGCATAAGAGAGTCGATGCCCACACTCTTGGTTAGACCTCTCTGGAAGGCTATAATTCAATTTCGAAAAATAACAATTATTGTCTGGAGGATTCTAGATATAACAACCCAACTTACCGCCGACCTCACGATACGTGAGGTCCGGGGAAGTTAGTGGTATACTATTCAGATTGGGCGACGACTGCCAACAGCATCAACATGTCTTTTCTCGACAACGAATAACTCCTCTCAATTGGAAACATAGAACCCGAGCTCAAGGCTGTAAGCCATATTTTGCAATCTTTGATAACTTCGTCTAACTGACATCACTTCAGTTCCTTGATACTGCTCGAATCCCGACTCCGAATTACGATGACTTAGATGTCTTCAAAAAGGTGTCGGTACAACGTAATATAGAAACCATGAAAGCCTTCCCCCCCCCAGATATTAGACAAACAGAACTCCAATACCCGACTAGAGACGGCATCAACGCAAGGGCGAAGCTCTACCAGCCCTCGATCATACTGGCGAACCATTAAAGTCCACTCATTGTCATTTTCCGCGGTGGAGGCTTCTGCGTCGGTTCTCCAGAAAGCGAGGAGCAAAGCTGCTGGAACTTCGTGCAGTCCTTTGGCGCCATATGTGTCTCCGTGGGGTACAGACTGGCTCCTGAGTTTCCATTTCTCTACACGGTCCACGACGCTTGGGACGCACTGAGGTGGGCAGCGAAAATAGTGTCCTGTTGGGGCGCAGACCCATCTGCTAGTTTCGTGGTCAGAGGCACATCAGCAGGCGGTAATATCTCAGCCATCCTAGCACACCTGGCTCGGTACGAAGGTCTCTCACCTCCTCTAACAGGTCAATATCTAGCAATTCCCGCCGATCTGCCACCGTCAGTCGTCCCAGAGAAATATAAAGAGAACTACCTGTCGTACGAGCAGAATTGACATGGCGTCGTACTCCCCGTTGCTGCAATCGACATGTTCCTCTCTCGCTACAAACCCAAAGATAGCGATAGCTGCGGTGGGCTGTGTTCAACCATTTTTAGCGTCATCAGGGCCTGCCAGCCGCTTGATTCCAGATCGACGGCATGGATCCTTTGAGGGATGAGGTCCAGATATACGAACGAGTGCTCCGAGACGAGTCTTTTTTGATAGCGTTTGTTTATTTGTCTTGATCGGCATGCATGGGTCATGGTCATGGTCGTGGTCATGGGCTTCATCATGGTAATGGCAAGCGTCGCACACTTGGGATCCGTGCGATATGACATGATACATGATACATGGTACATGGTACGCGAAACACGAAAACAGGCAACGTTGAATATGGAGTGAAGACAAAGAGCTACATCTACCCAGGTGCGCCCCACGGCCACTGGGCATTCTTTCCGTTCCTAAAGAGCGGTGACAAATTTAGGGTCGAACAGATTGAAGGCATGGGCTGGCTCCTAGGCAAGACCCCGGATCCCACAAAGGTGGTTACCAGTGCAAAGGCTACAAATGCCTAATATGTTCGACTCTACTACACAAACCAGGGCCAGGGCCACTACAGTGGCTACCTCAGATCCCTGGAGCAACAAGAAGTCGAAAGTATGAAGGGCAAGTAATTCCCAGCAGGCAGCTACCACTAAAAGCATTTGCTCTAATCGAGCCTTTGCAAAATTATATCTCAGCATTGATCCACATCCACCTGGACGCGTTAGGTACCGAATCTATCGACACTAAACCTGATTTGAAACCACCGAGGTATGACAAGTCGATCAAGGAACGCGAGCTGCTGGTTCTTCTACCACAATTACTACGCCATTGTGGCCTTTTTAACGTGATCTTTAAGCGGCCCTTGGTCAGTACCACGAAATTGTCTTTCCACGCCATGTCGTCCGGCTTCATGTTACAGAGCACCATATCAAAGATCCGAAACAAGTGCGCTACCGTCAAGAACAGCTCTGCGTACGCAAGATTAGTACCCAGTCAAGATTGAGGCCTTCGCGAAAAGCGGATTAGTCGGTCCTCGAGTTCCGCGGCGTTAGCTAACCTTTCTGATTCATAACACCCTCAACTTTCTGTCGACAGCGCCATTGAGAGTTTGCGAATCGCGAGTTATCATTTTGTATCCACTCATGCCTCGACGATCAAGTTTGTGGCAGCCAGCGCCGGCACATACTTCTCAGCCTGTTCTTCGGTCAGTTGGAGCAGTAGTCAAAGCAGCAACGCAGCGATATTGTGCCAACAGATTGTGTATTGGGTGACATCGAACATGTGTTCCAGGGATAGGAGTATGGGAGATTTGAAGTCTTTGACCTCAAGAGATTTGAAACCCTGGTCGGTAAAACAGGAGCTCATGGCAACGTCACTAGCCCAGGTGCGATAGCCCAGACTGATGTCAACGGCCTTGCTAGTGAACGCTGCGGCGCCGAGGACCAACAAAAACTTCTGTATTGGATTGTGAATCAAGGCTCGAGTCTATTGATCGCAGCCTTGGAGAAGTACGGCCGGAAGGGATCTCTTTTCAAGGTTTAACGGCCTTGAGTAAGTCACATTGAAAAATCCAACAGAACGCTTGCTCGAGTACATCTGCTTCCATTTGGAAATTTTTCAGCCGGATAGGAATATCCTATATACCGGTTAGAAGGGAGGACAATGAACAATGTTAATGTCTTCCTCGTTATATCCGATCATATCCCTGATATGTAGCCGATCCGGCGTGGTGCGCACGATGGCGCTTGTGCGCGGTTAGGTCAGAGATTATATGTATGCAAAGGACTTGCCGCGAAGACCTTGACATAGGAAGTTGATTGTCTCAAGTCGTACCATATAGGTGTACTGGTAGCAGCTGCAAGCTTGGGGCCAGGGAATTTGGCAAGAAGGTGGAGTGTAAGACGGTAAGAAATACCTAAGACAAGGAGGAAGCAGAGAGCGATCAATCCTTTGATCGACAGATGACACACCGACGTATCCATGTCGCCATTCTGTTGAATGGGCCAAATCAAACATCAGTCATGAATTGACCCACGACACAACTCTCAGAGTGCAGTCTTCTCCCCTACAGTCTGCAACAGATACAGACTGTTCGCTCGGTATCGGTATACCGAGGCGTCGTATACAACCTCATCCACGATCCATGATCTGCAATGCCAGCAGCCTCCGGGTAGGAAAGTTATGAGGTCAACCATGGGGCAGTCCATAGCCCGCTGTGAATTCGTATGGTCACAACATCCATCGGAATTTTACGAGAGATTTTGGAATTCCTGGAGCCTGGCCACGTTTTCCGAAAATGCCTTCCGAAGGGCCCACGGAAAACAAGATCGGAATAAAAGTGCAAATTATCCCGCATAATGTCAAAGTTAGGAATGACGATTTTTGTAGTGCCTCTGACTGTGCAGAGTGTTCTATGTCTGCCCCCTGTAGAAGATTGCACTCATCTCGCGTTATAGAACCTGTGAGAGTACGGATGTCCTGGAGAAATACTCAGTCAATAACACAGATGTGTCGGAAATAACTTCCTACCAGATCGTAAAGACTTTTATTAGCTCGGCATAAACACCACCATTGCCCTGTTCAGCATGCAAAGTAGTTCGAGGGGTCTTGAAAACGGCAGCATCAAACTCTTCATCTGGTGATGGCAGACTCAGGTTCTCCATCTCAGCAATCTCTTTGAATAGCAACATGCATTCAGCGCTTTGGCAATAAGTGAGGTAACAAGCCCAAAACCGCCTACGTCGTAACTCGAAATCTGGCTAGCTCTGTGCACGCGACGTCTCTGGTCCGTGGCCAATGATATGGAGGAGATTGAAAGCATTCCCTATGGCAGGATTAATGGCGAAAATTGTAGGCGAGGCATGCTCACCTCTATGAAGAAAACTCGTCCTCCAGGAACCCTGACTGTGCCAAAACAGGGCCAAATTAACAGAAGTTACCATAATTTCCTCCTGAAAATCCTCCATCTCCTGGAACACCAATTTTCCTGCCCTTTGAGCCCATCCGAGCATAAATCCTTGATCTTTCAGTGTGTGGTGGCCGCTACTATCTCGACAGAAACTATGTGGCTAGAGTTAGCTCGGAACAAAATTCGAAGTCGCCGTCGGTCTCATACTTGGCTGCCCATGCACAGACTCCCAAGACAACGTGCGGACGGGCGGTGCCGGCTATCAGAGAGTCACAGAAAGAGCGTTTATGTAGGAGAAGATGTGCATTGTAAACGTTATCGAAATATGTTTCCACCAACATCATGAGTAGAGACCTCGGAATTCCATGGTAAAGCTCGTCGGGTAACCGAGAGAGTGACGGGGTCGTGGCGAGTGAGCGACGGCTTGCGCAGTATAGCTTTTCTTTCGCGACACCATAGCTACCCTGTTGCATGATTATTGTGACAGCAGGAGGGTTGGTATCAATGGCTGTGGAAGTAGCCACTTGTCCTAGAGTTGGCTTTTTCGCAGCGCTTCGCCTCGTGGTCCCATAGATACAGGTATGGTTCAGCCGCAGACATCGCTTGCATGTTGGGCGCTCCCCCGTACAGCGTATCTAATTGCCAATCACCAGCCGAAAACTCTTCCCAAGCAATGTGGACTCTAGGCGTCTACCTTTTGGCTCTTGCAAATATTGCACGCCTTTCTTGGTCGTCCGGCACCGGTCGACATAGGTTAATATTATCCGGCCACTAAATTGAACAGCTATTAAGTAGAGCAGAATAGCCTCATCACTTTCAGAGGGAAAAGATTAAAAGCCAAGGTATGAGAGTGGTCAATTTCGACCTGAAGAAGCTGCATAGGATTCTGGGGAACTTTAGGTGGGGGAGGCGGTATATCCCCCCTGCAGCCCCCGGCTTGTCACCCCGCGAGAACCGGTAAATTCTCCCCGCACAATCGCCCTCGGCCTGCTCACCTGCCAGAAGCTGGGCCAGCTGTTCTGAATGGGGCTGACGCGCCAATTTCCCCGAGCCCGGACACGGCAAGGCTCAAGCAAGAAAATAAACTATCCTTGGCCGTCTCAGAACCTCCCCAAAGTTCAAATCAACAGGAACAAGTGCTCTGGCGGCGCAGCTCCATCCCCCTTCTGGCAGTGTGTTCTGCCGCGGTGTTCTACCAAGGAACCTCTTTCCCATCATAACGATTCGGGCCTTCGTTATTCTCCCATCCAGGAACCAGAATGTTTTGGAATGTGCCGTTGTACTCTGGTCTACTGTTTAACACATTGTCCAGCACGGCCCTCGCCCCAACGTCCACACGCAGATCAGCGTTCTGGCTGCCCATATCGGTCTTGAGCCACTGCAACAAGAGCTCGTCAGCTAATTCACCTGCCAGATAGCTTGGTAATAACTTGCAATGCTCACCCCAGGGGATATTACGTAAACTGTAAACCCTTCTTTGCCATATTCGAGCGCATATTGCACAGTCAACGTGTTTAATGCAGCTTTTGAGACCTTGTATGCCGGGAATGGCGCTTGAGCGAATCCCTCGACTTGCGAGATTGAACCCACGGTCGATGAGCTGCACAGCGTTCAGTCATAAGAATTGTGGACCTCTGGGGCGCCACCTCGACGTACACGTTGACAACTTGCTTCCCAGCCCCTTTCTTCAGCAATGGCAACAGTGCTGTGGTCGTCTCGTGAACCGCCTCGACATTGACTTCAAACGCATACCTCAGGTTATCCATCTTTGCGATACCTTTGAACGTTCCAGGCATAACGCCGGCGTTGTTGATCAGCACGTCAAGGCCTTTCCCCTCAAGTCTCCTGCTGACTTCCCTCACAGCCTTGTCAATACTGCTTCGATCTGTGATCGTGACGGTGACAGGGATGACCCGTCCATGTGAACGATCAACAACCTCTTGCAGGGCAGTTGTGGGCTGTGATCTGCTAGCGGCGAAGACAATCGATACTTGGTTTGACACCAATTGTGAGAGTTGATTGACTAATTCAAGGCCTAGGCCACGACCGGCACCAGTGATAAAGTAGGATGACATGGTCATGCTTGTATATATTTTCATTTTTGAGGGGGGGGAATGAGGTTTCAGTGTTTTCAGTTACCAAAGCTTGTGCGTAAATATACTCACGAGTAAATGCGATATGCAGCAGTAAGCGGATCACCACCCAAAAAATTTCCGCGTTTGTGGTCCACATGACGGCAATAACGCATTGTCCGTCTGAGAAATTGGCTGGTTTTCTACACGGTGGATTCACATGTTCTCGGCGCATGGTCAATGTTCTATGGCCACCTCCGTCCTCGAACATCCGGTTGCAGGTGATAGAATGGCCCCTTATTTCCACGGCTATGATTCGAGCACAAGCACAAAGCCCTTAGATTTCACAGATTTTTTTTCTCTTTTTGATTTTCTTTTTTCCAGTTTGTGAGAACATATCTTGTGATCGTTAATGTCATGTTATTGCGAAGAGGCTGTCTGGCAATTTCGTCCTTTGACTAGGGACTTTGTAACAGTACAATACCTGAGCATATGTAAAGTGTGTCAACTTCAATATACACAATTATATGTCATTCCCACTCTCCGGAAACACGCTGTAGCCATGACCAAGATCTTCCTTGAATCTCTGACCACCCACCAAAAGAGGCTGGCAGTCCTGCAGGACGAACAACATTCGAGCCCATTCGGTCTTACTGGAATTCTTCCAAGCATGCATTGTTCCTCGTTTAACAGCGACGTCACCCTTCTTCATGAGCGTCCTACTGCCATCATCTAACTCCATAATGATGCTACCCTCCAGCACAACGCCATAATCCAGGCTCTGCGTACGATGCATAAGCGCCGTGTTGTGAGGTCCGAAGTTGACGATACGGATGACAGTTCCGTGGGGTTGAACGATGTTTAATTTGCCCGACGCTTTCATTTCTTCATGTAACTTGATGTCCTTGTCATCGTTGAGGTCGGATGGAAACTCAGACGTCGTATAAAGCAAACTGTGGCTGATGTTTAATCCTTCATATGGCAGTGCCACCTCGGTTGTCGAGCTTCAAACAACTGCTTGGCCGGCAGCATTATGGGACGTGATGTGCAATACAGGATCCGGAAATAGAGATTTGCCATCGCCATAGTTAGAATTAGAACCCATTGTGACAATTGACTGAACTGGATACGACGTATTAGAGTGCTGTTATCAGGGACCTACGCAACGCAGTAGGTACAAAGAAATTAGAGTAGCTGAATGCCTTATTCTATTCACGTAGTCCTATTGACAACGACTCAACGCTTGAGAAAAAGGAAGAGTTCTCTCTCAGCCGATTCAGGTGAGAGGAGACTCTTATAGCTTCCCCTCTTTCTGTCACGTGAAAAGGGTAAGGCAGCGTTAACCGATAGCCTTGTGCCTCAACCGTCCTTTGCCTTATCCTTTCCTTTTCTTTCTATACCGTCCACCCGATTCGGGTGGAGGGCGTAGAGTACTTGGGGACAACGGTGGGCTCGTGATAGCTGTTGAAAGTATCAATAAGGGTGGAAGGACAACGAGGCCATTTATCGTTCTGAAAACCCGAGGCAAGCTAGGAAAATATGGGTGCTTGAAACAGTTAGAATATGCGGGCTCTAATATCGAGAGGATAATTCAGGAAAACCGGTCTGGAATGGTCAGTGAAACCCCAGGATGCTGGTCAGCGAGGCTGTCTCGAACTCCTCTAACACCTAGTGCTGGCGAACTCCAGAACCTAGCATTTGAATTGGCTCAGACAGCTAATCAGACTTTTCCCATTACTCCGACGGATAATCCGACCTTTTTCAATAACAACGGGCAAGGATCACCGAGCGAAGTATAGAACTTATGGAAGCATTGACCGAGGCATGTGGCCCCAACCCTTCACTGTGGGTGAATCCTCCCAACTATTGTCCGTGTCGGCCGGGAAATCAAGACCTCCACAGCCGGTTCCATTCAAGTGTCCAAGTGCCCATCTCAACTTCCTGCCTGTGATCTCGTTCTATGGCGATGACTCAGGGCTACTGGGATTATTTGTATAAAAGCCCTGGCTTCCTTTATTAGTTACTTTTTCATCCAAGAACGCAGTGTCAACAACGAGAGGAAGACCAAGACAAAATGTGCTCGTGGATAGAAGTGAAAGACTCTTCAGACTTTTCGTTGCAGAATTTACCCTATGGTGTTTTCAGTACCAAAGGCACAGATGCGCGAATTGGAGTTGCCATCGGTGACTGGGTGTTCGACCTCAAAGTCCTTGCGGAAGGAGGCGTATTCGACGATCTTGAATTCGACCTTGAGACATTAAAAAATACCACCTTGAACGCATACGCTGCCCTAGAGAAGACAGTCCACCAAAAAGTACGACAAAGACTACAGAAGCTTCTAGAAAAAGACACTCAACTGGGACACGTTCTCAAAGATAATAAACCACTCCATAACAAGGCTTTTTTCCCACAGAGTGGCGTCAATATGCATCTACCAATGAAGATTGGCGACTACACAGACTTTTTTGTCGGACTGCATCACGCTAAAACGGTAAATGCTACCCTTATCTTCGGCCAGTATAAATATGACTGATGAATTGGATATAGTGTGCAGGGTTAGTCAGGCCTGGTCAGACCATTGAGCAGATCTGTCCCTGCTTTTACAATTTGCCCATCGCATACAATGGCCGAGCATCTTCTGTCGTCGTCTCTGGAACACCTTTTCATAGACCTAGTGGGCAATTCCCAGTCGATGGAGAGGTGATATCCGGTCCTTGCCTAAAGCTAGATATCGAAGTCGAATTCGCTGCTTTCATTGGTCGAGGGAACGAATTTGGGTGTCCGATAGACGTCGATCATGCCGAAGACCATATCTTTGGGTTTGTGCTGCTTAATGATTGGTCAGCGCGTGATATCCAGATGTATGAAGCGACTCTGATGGGCCCGTTCAATGGAAAGAGCTTTTGCACAACAATATCTCCATGGGTTGTTCCACTTGAGTCGCTTGAGCCCTTCCGAGTTGCACCAAAGGAGACACCGGTAAGTTCAGAACTTCAGTTTTATCTTGCTGAGATTAAAACTAACTTACCAGCGTAAATTGCCTAAATACCTGACCGAGAAACGAGAAAAGTCAGCGTACGACATTCCTATTCGAGCGACCTTAGAATGTAAGAATTTCATTACGTTACGTATTGTACTGCGGCTAACGTATATATAGTGAATTTCGAGAAATATCGCGTGACCGACTGCAGTACAAGCAATGTTATATTCTCTTTCGCGCAAATGATTGCTCACCATACCAGTGGTGGATGCCCTTTACAGACAGGAGATCTTATTGCAACTGGTACATTGTCTGGACCAACTCGAGGGGAAGCTGGTTGCCTCCTAGAACAGACACGCGGAGGAAAGGAGCCTTTCGAGATGTTCGCGGAGGATTCGTCAAAAGGTAGCGTGCAGCGGACATTCTGCGAGGACAACGACACCATCATATTCACCGCTCATGCGAAATCGAATGACGGACTTGGCAACGTAGGCTTTGGCACTTGCCAGGGTAAAGTGCTTCCAGCTATCTGACCTATTTATGGAGCGGAGTCAAATACTTACCAGAAATATCCTCACTTTCCTCGATTTCCAGTATGCTGAAGTGTTATTAACGAGCACTAAAGGAGGGATCTTGCATCGTTGACATGGCTAAACATCCTCAGTAGAGTTTTCGGGGTTTGGCTATGGGGAAATGGGCTATCAGAGTTGTTTCTACTTCTTTCGACGTCTTCCCTTTCCGTACTGAACGGATGCTTACACTCCAGATCAGGTTTAGACCAGCACGACATCATTCGTACTTGATAATGAGTTTCCATGAGAAAAGCAATAAGGTTGCTCATCTACCATTGTAACAGAGTACTTCGTGGTTCGGGGTGCACGTGCAACAACGCACGGAGGCCTGTCCGGCAGGTCGGGAATCGAGAGCGCGTTTCTGGTTGATACTGACAAGACAACACCACCACCAACACCACCCCCCCAGAGAGGTAGCGGCTAGGGCAGCGAGCGCCTAGCCGGCGACGGCATTGAGAAGTAGGAAAACGCCGATGAAAGCCCCAGGAATAGGTAGACGACGTCAAAAACATAGAATACTCTGTCATACTGTAAGGAATGACCGCCTGCCAGCACTATAAACTGTCCTGCTCCCAGCTCTTTAATTAGGTTTGATATGTGACCTGACAGACCTCTGCCCTGCCAGTTCACCACCACCCCAGCACTGCACAGCCACCTTGCCTTGTTACAATAGAATGTCTCATTGCGGCTGTTTTAGGACAGCAGGGGATGCAGACAAGCAGTTATCAGTTTTCGATCAGTTAGAGGAAAACGTAGATACGGTGTCTCTGTTTGGCTACACATGTTTCCTAAACTGAAAGTACCGTGTTTTCAGTTGATAACACAACTGACAGCAGCCAAGAATCGAAGAAATTCAGTTGTATTCCTCTCAAGCTGCCCGTAGGTATCATGAATGAAAAATACCTCGTCACCTACCAGATTTTCAACGGACAGTGCAAAGTTCAAAAAAAGATAACCGTGTTGCTCGACCACCATCGGGTTGTTGTTTTTTTCATGGGGCAATCCCAGTGTCCCATTTCGATCACACTGGTTTAAGACGCATTCTTTGGCGAAGGTTATAGGTCGTGTCACCCTGCCGATAACTGTACACATCCCTGACACATCACAATTTGAGATGTTGAACAGACAAGGCTGACAAAGATGCCTAACCCTATTAGGCAGGTAATGGTGCGAGGCTCCGATCGCTCTAATAGGACAATTCTCCACACAAGGTCAGGTCTGTGTTCAAATGTGGGCAAGGCGCGAAAGGGGGCACATCTTTACGGGCATCGATATAGTGGAAAATCATGTACATTCCATGGTTAGACGATGAATTGGCATCTCTTCTCAACGACGCAGAAAACTTGGGTGGTTCAAAAAGAAGCTCTGATGATTAACATTCCTTACAGGAAGAGCCTTTCGCCATCTGCATTCCTTCTTTCCAATTCCGAAATGTAGTAGTTCTCGCAGTTATTGCCCCGGCATCAACACCTGCATACCGCCTCTCGCAACCGAAAATGTTATTATCCCTGGAATGCTTTTACGTCAGCTCGCCAATACGTGGCAATCAGAATTGTCCGGTCGAGGCGGTATATTCTCGCAGTTCGGGATACGAGACTATTTTCAAAATCCGCCTGGGCCCACCACGTCGAGCGGACTATGTAAACTCGTGGTCCAGACCACCATCGGTCAGTAAATTGTACCGAGTACACACTGACGGCATTTGACAACGCCAGGGCAATCGAGTCCCACGGCCTCGAATTTTCCAGATGAGATTCAGGGGTCAGCATCCACGCCTTCGATTTGCCGAGTGAAAATCCTGGGGTATCCACGGGGATCTCAAAGTATAGACTTGAGGCATTCGCACGTTATTCACTACGCAAGACCACTGGAGAAGTCATCTACCTGCATCTGCCAGAAAATGGATATCGAGTCGAAGACTGGAAGTACTTCTCACTATGAGGGCTCTGCGGCAGAAGAGAAATCTGAACAGAGAGAGCATCATCGCCATGGTCTCTCCCAACATCATGGTCTCGCTGATGGCGGAGCAGTCACCAAGCAAGGACACATGTTCAAAGGCAAGCACAATTCACTATATCTCATACTTTACTTGCTTACTATCAACCCAGAGGACGGGGACGGAACAGTGATCGAGAGGCTTTTTCTTCCGCGGCCCACCGATGATCCGAGGGACCCTTTAGTTTGTCATAAACCGTCGCGCTTCCGTGGTGCCTTCTGTTCTGACTACTGTGGCAGTTATGGCCTCTTTGGCGTAAACACTCGGCAATGGGCGCGGTGTGCTTCTTCGTCTTCCTGTCCAACTATGTTACCGTCTCTCTGTCACCAATTCTTGTTTCCATAATCACCGATTTCAACATCAGCGTGGATCAGGCAGGGTACCTTATAACGCTCAATCTACTCTTTTTGGGTCTTGGAAATCTCTTCTGGGTTCCATTATCTGAAAGAATGGGGAAACGGCCTGTCCTCATTGCCTGCGCCTTGACCTACTTTGTTTGCAGTATCTGGGCTGCAGTTGCGAAAACCTATGGCTCGTTCCTTGGGGCAAGAATTATGCAAGGCTTTGGAGCCAGCGCCAGCGAGGCACTTGGACCAGCAGTGGTGGCTGATCTCTACGTAAGTTGTTATAGTTCTCTGGATCCTGTGACGGGCTGTTCGGATATGCACTAAGGACTTTGGTCATCCCGACACAGTTTCTGACAGTTCTATAGTTCGTCCACGAGAGAGGTTTGTTTATGAGCTTTTATCTTCTCATATTTACTGTTGGGGTCTCTCTGGGCGGCATCTGGTCTGGCCTCATTGCAAGCTCAACGCCGAATTGGCACTGGGTCTTGTGGCACGATACCATCTTGACGGGGTTCGTGTTTCTGGTTATTGTTCTTTTTGCACCGGAGACCAACTTCAAACGTCCCCCGGAGAATGAGTCAGGAGAAGGAATGCCGTTGCCTGAGCTTGTTGATCTCCGCAAGAGAGTTAAGTTCAGCTGGATTAGATCCCTTAGCGTCACCACTTGGTATGATAGGTCCGTATTCCCACCACTAACTACTTGGCTCTAGCAGGAGTTACTGACTTAACGCAGAGAGTTTTCTATCTGGTGGCTTTGGTGGAGACCTTGGCTTACACTTCGCCTGCCTGCGGTTTGGTTTTGTATTATTACCTATGGTGTCTCCTTGGGATGGCAGATCATCCAGACCACTGCCAACGGTGTAATTTTTCCGGCTATCTATAACTTCTCGCCGCGAGGAGTGGGAAATATTAGCTGTGCGGTTAGATATCTCCTTTCTCCCTTGTACAGCGGTCTCTTCACTGACTATGTAACAGTATCTAGTAGCATCCTTCTTAGGATGCGCTGCAGGTGGACCATTCCTCGACTGGCTAACACGATACATTACCAAACGCCGCGGTGGTTACTTTGTTCCCGAATACCGCTTGTGGGCTATGATTCCACCATCTGTCGTGTTTCCAATTGGCCTACTAATGTACGGGGGTGGTCTTGAAAATCATCTGAACTATATGATTCCCATTGTCGGAAGCGCGATAGGGTACGCTGTCGTCTGCGTGGTACCTTCCGTGGGCATGACCTACGTGGTCGACTGTTACAGACCTCTTTCTGGCGAGACTATGACCATGGTTACGGCGGCAAAGAATACATTTGGATTTGCGCTCAGCTTCGCAGTCTTCCCATGGTTAGAGAGGGACGGTTATTTAAAAGTGAGTTACATGCTCTCCTCTTTGCTGCGATGATGCTTATGACGACTTCAGGCATCAGGGATTCAGGTTCTCATTCAAGCTATCCTGTTTCTCACTACCATCCCGATGTACATCTACGGAGCAATGCTACGACAGTGGACTTCCAAATTTCTAATTTGAAGCACAGAACAAAGCTGGAAACAAACAGATTGAGGTTGTGGAGACGAGGTCTTTGGGGTGTTTTAATGATTGCAGTTGACATGCTGCAAAACGCCAACTTATCTAAGAGGTGAACAGGAGGTGGTTAAGAGGGGACTTATTTGTCTAAACCGAAGCACGCCAGCAACGTTCTGTTGAGGTTTTCGAGTCTCAATTAGTAAGTATTTTGTAGTCGATAGGAGAATTGGATCACAAATTCAGACTTTCTCAGTTTATTTCGATTTTAGCCTGACTCAGAAACCTTCATTCATCGTTCAGCAAAGCACCGTTGCGGACAATGCATAACTTAATGGTCTTGTAACAGCTCAGCAGATTAGCCTATTATCATAGAGACCCTACCGAAATCCACATTGGTGCAGGTATTATATTGAATAGTTGAGTCTTTCTGTCGCAAAATGGCCTCGGCGTCGGCTGCAAATGGCAGAGAAGCAAAAGCGTTGTCAGTTTTCAAATTCCGGATCTAGATTCTTGTCCCAGGTGGCACAACGGAGTGTGGGGAGATCAGTCTGGGGAGCCGATTTCCGAACATCGGGCACGTGTCAAGAATATCCCGGTTCTGGCGAAGAGTGGTGTCTCCCAATAACGTGAATTGCCGTGTCCCTACTAGATTAACTTGATATCCTAACCCTGGCGGCAAACCCTGGTCTTTTTTTTATATCTTGTTTGAGCGTAACTGCTTCGCTCGGTCTAGGGCAGGAGGCCCTCGCGACTCAGCACTTTTTCCGGACCACCACCCTCAGGATAGCCCAAGAGGACGAGGCTCAATGTGTCCGAAGATATCCGAGTAAGGACTTGCATGCCAAGCACTGTCTCGTAAAAGAATAGCGACTTTTCCAGGCCCGAGACACGAATGCCAACCTGGTTGTGTAACCAGCCGCGGGTGAAGGCGCTCAATTCTGCCATTTTCAAAGAACTCTTATCAGCAAAGATATATCTCAAGATTGGTCCATCAAAGATGCTCGGTATGATCTCAGTGCCTTCTCTGCACGACAGATCTTTGTGTTCCATTTATATATACATGCATCACAGCACTGCCCTCACACCAACGCTGGTGCTCCGACGGAAGCGGAAAATTGGTCGCAAGGGTCTCAGTAGACCGGCATACAAATCCCCTGGTTACTCGGCAGTTAATGCAACTAAGCTGAAAAAGAGGCCCTATGCGAAGGAAACCATGTGTCTTATCTGTCAATGCCTCCTATGCCCCCGTTTTGTGCGGTCTCCAACCACACAAAAAAAAGGGACGGAGGCGAGGGGGCTGGTACTGTGAGCCTTGTGTTACTCAGGTGGAGGCTCATAATCATCTCCTGCCGGCCACACCATAGCTACACTACTCAGCCTCGGTGTTTCTTGCCCGAAACTCAGCACATCCGGCAAAAAATTAGCGGGAAGAGGAATGCAATGACTGGTCTCGTCTGAACGAAGCAACCCTACCTCGATTTGCTCCTAATCTATGAGATCTAGTGTCGACGGTCGGAGCTGTGGCGCGCTGTTCGGCATGCACACTCCGAGGGCACCACAGTCTGCTAACATGCGGTGGCAAATTCACGAAAGTACAACATGAAAGTGCCTCTAGTTGTGTGAGTGTTGACTATCTAAATGCATTGAACCCGTCGATCCGAAGTTCGCTTGAGAAATTCAAGATAAAAGCCCGTGACTCCACTGACCTTTGGTACTCCAAAGATATCCCCTCGACCCCAGGATGTCCTAAGGAGTGCAGGTGACTAGATTCCAGCTGTGACCTGAAAGCTTCTCACGGTCCAAGGCTTTCGGATTGAATCCCTCTTTGGAACGAACCACAACTTTTTCGCACAGCAGCGGAGTTGCCATCTAATTACTTATACAGAGAATTTAGGCAGTGTATAAGTGAAGCATCACAGGCTGCGTCAGGACGAGAAGGGCAAAAATGAGCTGGAAGAGAGGTTGAGAGGGATGGGTGGGAGACGTGTTCGTAGCCGTCCTCGCCGTCAAAAGCAGTGACGCGACCAGCTTGCGACCATACCCAAAACGGCAGGATTACCTAAAGCAAATGCGGATTTCCCTGCCCGGCAACAACTTTGTAAGTACCTTTAAAACCCATGGGATCAACTCACTCTGCAAGACCATGGGGTCAGTCACAACGCGCCGCTGGATTTGGAGGTCGACACCGGAGATCAGAAAGCGCTGTTTGGAAAATGGGATCACTCGGCAAATGATGGCTACGCTATTCACGAATTATTTAAAATACACGCTACGACACTGACGACCTCCGTCAAGTCATGTATTCTCGACTAACGGCCACCTTCTCTTTGTCATAAATTGACCTGCAGCTTCATGTTGCATTCGGCGGCTTTGGCCTTCTTCAGGGCGAAACGGAAATGGTCTCGGCTGCGTTTAACAGCGTTAAGGCTCATACGGTCTCTTCGTCCGAGCTCGAATCGTGGACCTCCTTCTTCTGCTGAATCATCTTTGGAGACTTGGGGTCATGTCCAGTTTTTGAGAGCGACGGCCACCAACTTGAGCCTTCTGACCGTTTCGGGCCGCAGGAATCTGTGAGCGCTGTTTTCTCAGTCGGCTTCTCTCCCATACCGAATTGCCACCACTTCTTGGTAGACCTCGAATTCTTTTGAGCGTCTTTTGCCGCTCGCTGCTCAACCTTGTGAATGTGACGTTCTACCATGGCGAATTAAGTCCTTGTCTCCTGTGCTCTTTACAGACCGCAGCGTCGACTCCGAATCTTCACCGGACTGAGTTCCCCGCATCCTCTTCTGCGCTTCGTTCAGGAATACCTCGAGTGCGTCGGCACGATTGCGATTGATTGCTGTCATTTTGGGAAACGATAGATAGGCGGTCAGGGGAACCATCCTTTTGATGACCTTTATCGGTTGGTCGTTGGTAATGAGCGGCAACAATTCGCATCCAAGATGGTAAGTGTAGCTCCTGTTGTCCAAACTCATCGCTCCGTGATCTAGAAGGAAGAGCATGAAGACGCATTCTGAGGACCCTCTTCAATAGTCAAGCTTAGCATGGACGTCATGTGATCGTCAAACTCAAACCTGACAACGTTATGGGAGTAGGAATAGATCAGCTTGAGCATATCAAGATCTCCCGTCTTAGCAAGCGTTCTGACCGTGCAGAGTTCTCTGAAGTCGAAGTCAGGATATATCCAGCGCAGGTGTCGGACGGTGGATTGTTGCCCATGAGAAATGGCTGCTTCAAAGAGCATAGCTGTCGTAGGAGCACCATCTCCTTTGGAATCCCTATACCAGATAATTTCGTGACCTGGCTTGACATGGTGCTTCTCAAACAACTGTTGTAACTGAGCTAGTTGACAGGTCTTGCGTGCTTCGACCATGGCTTCCTGGTGAGGAGATAGAAACTTCCATGGCTGTGGCTGAGGTTCTGGAAGAGATGAGGCCACTGTGGGAAGTGCTGCTCAAGAATAAGATGTACATAGAAGGCTATCGGAAAAAGCAGATGACCTCAATTGCTATAGACGGTATTCGGAGGCTTTAAGCCACGAAAAATGGGATTCTTACAGCCTTCAGCGGCCGGCTGGGAGGCCACAATGCTTCAAGTACTCACTCATTTGGCATCGGCGGCTAAAGTCTTGTTTCGGTATGCCCGGGCTATGAAGCCTTACGGGCAGCTGGTAGCTGCTTGAGGTGAAACTCTCTTGCCGCTGGAGCTAAGTAAGTCCTCGTAAGATTGCAGTGGAGAGTTCAAGGATGGGAACGAGAAGTGCTGAGTTTGCATCAGGCAACAGAAGGCTCCCAGTAGTCTTGGCGATAATGAGGGTAAAGGGGAGGTAGTCGTGGTTTTAAAGCGGCGCAGGTCGGGTGAGTGTCGAGGTGCGATCGGTGTCGATTTAATGCCTTCTCTTTACCCTCCTAGATGCCTCTTTCGGCGAAATCCGCGGGCATCAGGGCGAGCAAGGCGAGCCTTGAAAGCTCTTTCGCCTTGTCGCTTGAGAAGTATTTCGTGAGGCTTTCGACCGATCATCGAGGCGATAATTACTTTGAAATTCTCTGCCACTTTGTTAGTATTCGATGTTGTGTTAACAAGCAGGTATTATACTCGCTGATGGGATCTGTAGCATAATATTGAATCGCCTGCTTCGTGCCTAGCCTATCGTTGACATACACGGTGATCATGGGATGTGGGGGCACTGCTGGCACAGGCTTCTTCTCTGCCTTCTTCCCACGCTCTTTCTTCTTCTCTCGCCCGTGTTACGATCATCTCTATCTTGACTGTGGTCCTGGTCTCAGTTCCTGTCATCTCTTCTGGGTGACCATCTTCGTGGAAGAGAACTAGATCTTAAACGAGGACGGCAGTGGTCTCTATAGCCTCGCTGGAGTCCTGAATCCGGTCTCATTCTCTTCTCGACGAGTCATCTTCGTCTCACCGCTTCTCATTTCACTTGAAGCCATTGTCTTTGCGCCGCGCTCAATCTTCATGGCGATCTCGTCGTGGTGACCGGCTCCGCCGACGATCTCTGGAAGATTAAGGGGTTGACGTTTCGTCATCTGACATTATTAAAGACTTTGGGATGGATATCGTTCAGTTTGTCTGGTCCTGAGTTGTCAAAGTCTTAATCAAGAAACTTGAGATTTGGGGAAGCAGCTCGGCAGGTGGCCGGAAAATGTTCGGCTAAATCTTCGAGGAGGTTGATCCGAACACGACGCTAGTGTTAGGGTTCACTCCAACCAATTTCCTCTCATCAGTTCTTCCCCCACAGATACTCTCATCTGCCTCGTGCTTACGAGGTAGTCTTCGCAGTCATGATACTGAGCCGGCGGGTGTCAGCGAATATGTACAAGGTGCTTTAAGGCTTTGGTCGGTTTGTTAGGAGGTCGCAGCCGTGGCGCCGGTCACAAGGTTTCGCGTCGTCCTTCCTCCATTTCAATTGCCGACTCACCCCAGCATCTTTTTCTCTGCTCATTAGCACCCACTGTGAGAGAAATCTGTCTTAATTACGAGCCTCACACTCTCCTATATCCATCAGCTGTATGGAGGTTAGCATAAATCCGACCCAGATCGTGATCGTAAACAACAAATCCGTGGAACTCCGAGGCTTCCACATTCGCCAAAATGCTCGGCCGAATTCATCCCCCTGGCATCACCCAATAGCCGTGGTGGAACCTGTTTTGAACTGATCCCATAAGCATATTATCGGTTAAGGTAAGCTGAACGGGTATATATATATATATGCTGAGCAGCAGGCTTGCGATTGTTGATGTGACTGTTGACATCGGTTTCCTCAATCTTCGCAGACATCCGCACCGTCTGCCATCCCAATTCATACCTTCGATTAATCATGTCTCTCCTCCGGCGCCACCGCCAATTGGCTCCTACTGCCTCAGTGCAAGTCTCTCCTCTCTGCTTGGGCGCTATGGCCTTTGGCGAGAAGCAGCCAGAGCGATACGGCGAAGTCACCAAAGACACTGCCTTCGTCATTATGGATCATTTCTATTCTCAAGGAAGCGGCTTCATTGACACGGTCAACGCATATCAATTCGGCCAGTTAGAGAAATGGGTTGGTAAATGGATGGCTTCCCGCAAGAACTGCGACGAGATCGTCCTGGCCACCGAATTCTTCACAGGCTATTGTAACAAGGCGACGTGGCTGTGCTGGGCTGGTGGTGGACTGGCAAGGCAGAGGTCTGTCAGGTCACATGTCAAACCTAATTAGATCGCTGGGAGCAGGACAGTTTACAGTGCTGGCAGAGGGCCATTCTTGACAGTTTTGAAGAGAGCATCATGAATTCGATGGTTTTTTGGCGCCGTCTACCTAGTTCCTGGGTGTTTTTATCAGTCCTGTCCCATTCCTCGATGCTCCGGCTGTGCTAGATGTTCGTAGCCCTAGCAGCTGCCCCTCTGGGTGGCGTTGGTAGTTTTATCTTGTTAGTGCCAACTAGAAACGCGTTCTCGATTCCCGACCTGCTGGATAGGCCTCTGTGCGTTGTTGCACCTGCACGCCGAACCCTGAAGTGCTCTGTTACAATATAGAATGCTTTAATGAGAAATTTTAAGAGGAACATCATTCCTATGTGTAGAGATAAGAGTATAAGATTATACCCCTATGGAGTCCTAGATCAAGGGAGATTTTAGACCGCCGAAGAATTCAAGGCCAGAGAGAAGTATAATTCAGATAGAAATCTTATTTCACTCAGCGAGCATAATAAGAAGGTCTCTAGGCGCTGGAGAAGCTTATAAATAAGTAAGGTGTCCCGCTGCTCTATGTTGCGCTGGCCTATGTGATGTAGAAGACGCCCTGTGTGTTTCCCATTATAGGTGAAAGAATAGTGAACCACATTTCGGGTAGCATCGATGGACTCTCTGTAGTCTTATCGGCAGAGAAGATGAATGATGTTAAAACGGCATATGAATTCGACCCAGGATTTCCGTAGGTCTTCAATCAGAAGAAAATTGTTCACCAATGAGGCACCCAGAGGAGGCTATGGACCTGACGATGTATTCCTGACAAAGCCGTTGGGGACCTTCGACTAGGTTCTACCTCCGAAGCCGATTACGCCAGCGCAGACGAAGCAATGAAGCCCTGTACAAAATGCACAAAGAAGTTGAGAACGACAGCAATCCCTTAGGCAGATGAGGCAGGGCAATGTGAGGAGACCACATTTATCGAAAACTGTCCCGGGCATTAACACCCATCTTTATATGGATTTTCTGCTTTCCAACATATTCCTAAGTACGCATAATCGAAGACGGAAATGCGATTCCTGGATGAAGCTCTCTTGACTTGATGCTTACATTGCTTTCCCGGAAGCTATCCAGCACAACAGCTGGAGCGGCCCCTCAAAATACGAGATAAGCGAAGCAAAGGCCGTGGGGCCCAGTTCCTCAGCCTTATTCCCTCGCTTGCTGATCGCAAGGGGGTTTTTTTTTCTCTCTCTCTCTCCTTTCGATGAGTTCTAGACTATTTCTGGCAAGGAATGAAGTTGGAGGTAATATTCATTTGATGCCCAACAAGCAAAAGTCTGGTTGGAATGAGGACTGCGACCCTCTGAGCCCCGTCACGTACAAACTACGCAGCATGCCCACAAGCAAGAGACATATTTCCAGAGTGTATTCAGTCAGGCTGAAGCCTTGAGGATAATCTAGGTTGAAGCTTGTGGCTAAACTTGCATGAACATGTGGCGATTTTGACTGGTATAACTGGTATAGGTGCATGCAGACAAGAATAGAGCCCCGAATCTCAGTAATTTGAAAAGCTCGCATTTCTCGCAGGCCGGCTTGAAACCCGTGCTACGTGCTTCATAAAGTAAACAAGTTTTGCGGGGGAGCTCTGGATTCTGTGTCTCTGGCTCATACTCTGCATTTCCTTTTTTTCCCACTCTGAGACTTTCTACCGAACAATAAAGCACCTAGTGCGTTGAATGCAGAAAACAAGAGCTACACACCACAATACGCGTACTTGTTCACTTTTCTTTTCTCATGTTGAGTAGCAAATCTGTAGAGAATCCCTCGAAGACGGAACTGAAATGACTGCCAAACAACTTGCCGACATTTTCACTACCAACTATCAGGGACCTACGCAACGCAGTAGGTACAGAGAATTAGAGGAACTGAATGCCTTGTTCTATATCACGTAGTCCTATTGACAACGACTCAACGCTTAAGAAAAAGGAAGAGTTCTCTCTCACCCGATTCGGGTGAGAGGAAACTCTTATAGCTTCCCCTCTTTCTGTCACGTGAAAATGGTAAGGCGGCGTTAACTAATAGCCTTGTCAACTGATAGCCTTATGCTTTAGCTCTCCTTAGCTTGTGCTTCAACCATCCTTTGCCTTATCCTTTTCTTTCTGTACCGTCCACCCGATTCGGGTGGAGGGCGTAGGGTACTTGGGGACAACGGTGGGCTCGTGACACTAACCCAGGGTTCGTCGCAGCACTAAACCACTATTTGACACACCAATGGTTTAAAGATACGTTCTGAAAGCTTTTTAATAATTGTGTGAAGGATACATTGGATGATATCTTGAAAGAAGCCCCAACCAAGGTAAGCTTTTTTTAGAACCATTGTCAACCACCAAGTATATAACGACCATAACCAACGGAGCAAACCATCATACTAACTCTGACTTTAAAGACATAGAAGAAGACAACCGATCAGAGGGTCATCGATATAGTCGGGAAGCTTTCGACAAGGATCTATTGACGTCTGTACAAGACGCAAGTGAGATAGTTCAACCACAATCTCAGTTGGGATGACGTGGCTGGCCTGGGGAACGTGAAGCAAGCACTACAAATTGCAGTTGAAATACCTCGCAGGCAGCCTCAAATCTTCACTGGCAAACGAAAGCCATGTTTGTTTGTCCTTCTCGATGGACCTCCTGGGACTCGAAAAACTCACCTAGCTCGAGTCCGTGAATCATATCTCAAAACCAAATTTTCATTTTTCAACGCGAGCAATACGGTGAATATGTGAGTCGGAAACACACCAGACCGATCTGACTTATTTTCCAGCAAGCCCGCAAAGCTAAGCTGGCTATTGTTCTTTTTGATGAGATTGATGCGGTTTGTGGAAAGGGAGACAGTTTCCACAAGGGGTGTAATTCTGACATGAATTCGGAAATGCTCACACAGATGGACGGAGCTAAAGAGGACAGTACCGAAGTGCTATTCATAGGCGCCACAAACTTACCGTGGCATCTTGATCCAGCTTTTCTCCGCAGATTTCAGAAAGAGACCTGTATTCCGATACCTGAGACGACTGCAAGGGCAAAATGGATCGAAATGGAGCTGGGTGTTTTAGTGAGCACGAGTATGCTGAAATGGCTATTCTGGAAGCGATATAAAAAGCCTCATGCAAGAAGCTCTCGGAGAACTTCTTAGAGAGATCTAAGTGCCACTCACTCTCTCAAGGTTAGTCTTGCGTAGTCTTGGAAGTGATTCAGGCGACATAGTAACGATATGATTCAGGACGAAGAAAACAAGTACTGGTGTTGCCCTTCAACGGCCAAAGGGGCAGAAACCATGAACTAGAGAGAAGTCCCAAGAGGGCTGCTGGATGCACGACGCATAGGGCGAGCTGACATTGAGGCTGCCCTCATATATGTTATACCCACTGTGGAAGAATATTCCCTCCCCCAGTACGAATCCTGGTCTGAAAATAATGCAACTGGATGGTGATGTTCTCTGCGCACTGCTTTGGCAAAATACTTCGAATATAGTCACCAGCGGCAACGCATACGCTCCAAGTGTGGCTGTATGGCTATAATGGTTCATTCGTTGCAGCTTTTGCTTTGTAAATTACATCGTATGCTGTTCGATCATTCTGAAACCAATGGAAATGTGAACCGCCTTGGTGCAGCCACGGTAAGTTGAGGTCCGTAACATTCGTCCATATCGACCAGCTCGCTAATGCTTGTAGAGTAAACTCAATTTACTAAAAAAAAATTTAGATTCAGATCAGAAAAATGTGCTATTTGTTATACAAGTACACCTACTGTTATGTTTTTGGGGTGGGCCGGTTTCGAGACGGAGTGAGTTGAGCAGCCGAGCCAGGCTTGCTCCAATGCGTAGACTGAGCAGTGCTGCTTTTGAGAAGTTCACATTTTCATCGGAGAAGTTCAATGCCATCATGGCTCTCATGATGGAATATCTACAAGGCCAATCACAAACGCTGCCGCACAGCCCGCGGCAAGGAGCCAGGCGCTTTGGCCCCCACTGCGGGTGACACATGGGCGACCGCTCACCCGGCTTGTGCGAGCGCTGGGGTTAGCACAGGGCGGCACCAACTTACTCCCAAACGGGGGTGAGCGCGGTGTCGAATTACCTTCTCTTGGCCGTGGAGCAACATCAATCAAGGAAATTCCTTCTCCTCGCCCAAGACTGGTTAATGCACTGTACTGTCTATCTCAAAATAGATCCAGAAGCTGAAGGGTCTTCCTCGTTGCTGACCTGGCAACCAAGGCTATCATTCTAGACCACAACATCGAAGAGATCCCCATAGCTATATAAGATGAAGCCCCGTGTTTGCCCGACTCTCCGCAAGGCCTACAAGAGCCAATTCCAGTGGAACCAACGCGCCAAACAAGGCTTGAGACATCTGACCACGACCGAAACATGCTCAAGAGCGACAGACTACCCTTTCGTGAAGACCGCAAGGCTACCATGTCAACTACTCACAGCCTCGTTCCAGCGCCGCCACCAAAGCACATCCCCACCAATATCAGGCAGCGCCGCTCTCCCACGCGTTCTCGTCAATGACATGACGAACCAGGAACTCATCGTTGACTTCGGCACGGGTACAGCCCTGCGTTATCCGTCATTCTGGCTAAGAGACCACTGTCCCTGCCCGGAATGTCAGCATCCAAGCACCCATCAGCGGCAACTCGACACTTTTGCCATTGACCCAGAGATCAAAGTCTCGAGTGTGCAGTCCACACCGGAGGGATTGGAAGTGATTTGGCCAGTTACGGCGGCGGCGACGATGACGACAGCAGCAACAGGATCTGGAAATGCAGACACTGTAGCTGCCACCGGCGGGAAAGGGAGACACAGAAGTCTATATGGATGGGAATGGCTCCAGACTCATCCGCCTTTCATACAAGCCACCAACAAGGCTGCATCAACAGTGGCCAAAAGAAAATGGACGCACGTCTCTCCTTCATCCCCGCCACTCCCTCGAGTACCCTACTCGGCAATCGTGGACACCTCTTCCAACCTGGGGCTTGCACAATTCCTCGAATCAATCCACACCTATGGCCTGTGCTTCATTCCTTCGACGCCGCCCACTCCAAGCGCGACACAGTCTCTCGTTGAACGTATCTCGCACATCCGGCCAACCCACTACGGTGGCTTCTGGGACTTCACCTCGGAACCCAACCCCATCGACACTGCGTACACGGACGACTATCTACCCCCGCACACCGACACGACATACTTCACCGACCCCGCCGGGCTCCAGCTCTTCCACTGCCTGACACCTGCAGAGAAAGGCGGCGAATCGACCTTCGTGGATGGCTTCGCGGCCGCCGCGCACCTCTACAAAAACTTTCCACAGCACTACCGCGCCCTCAGCACGTACCCGATCACGTCCGCCGCTCTAGGCTCGTCCGCAGGCGAATTCTACAACACCGCCGCCTCGCCCCAGGGATATCCCGTGCTCGTGCACTCTTCCACACCATCATCCTCTGCGCCTATGACGCCAACCTCCCTGGTCCAAATCCGATGGAACAACCTGGACCGCGTCCCTCCCACAACTGCCTCATTCCCGAACCACACAGCCCTGAAGTCCTGGTACGCCGCGGCGCGCGAGTGGAGCCACATCCTCGACTCTCCGCAATTCCTGATCACCACGGCCCTGGCGCCCGGCGAACCCGTCATCTTCGATAACTGGCGCACTCTGCACGGCCGGCTGAGCTTCGAGGGTAGAAGGAGGGTGTGCGGAGCGTATGTCGGCATGGATGATTTTCGCGCCAGGTGCAGAGGTCTCGGTGTCGGCGACGTGTGACTGCTACGCACCTAGGTAGGGTTGTACCTAGGGCGTCCATGCGATGTGCTTTGGGGGTGAAGGGGCTTGGGCGTCGAAGGAGAAACACCACGATTCAATAAATTAGTAAATAGTCACTCCTGCGTCCGTCGTGATGATCGCATATAGCGAGTGAGTGGCACGGTGGCATGATCGATATTCTCATCGCACGCGGGTAAAGACATTCCTAAAGACATATGGGGTCCATGTGGGAAACGTCAAGAATGAAAAATCTCGATCAATCACTTGGGTTTCCTTCAAATCCATGCTGCATGCATGCTAACTCCCTGGTTTGAATCTCGACATCCCAATTCAAGCCCGGCAGCCATGAGTAATAATTGCACGCTTGTTTCTTCCCGTTTCGTTTGGTTTTCGTTCCATGTCGGATTCGGCGATGGCATATCCGTCTGAAAAGACCATGCCAATGACATTGCATATTTACCACGCCTCGTGTCATGGGTGTCTGTGACATTTGATTCAGCCCTCTTTCACTCACAGCACACTTATATCATCCTGACTCCGCTCGCTGCTGTGAAAGAATGCTGACCGCTGATGCCCATGTCTATGTCTTCTGTGAATTGAAGATCTCTCTCAGCCATCGCTGATTCGATTTTTTGACTTGTGATTATTTTCACGGTTCCCTCCACCGCTAGATCGAGAACAACTGCTCCCATTCAGAGAGGCGGCGGAAATTGAGGTACATGTCGTAAACGGTGCAATCCAACCCTTGTTCCGCGTCCAACTTCTTTCGATGCTCCGCCATACGCACGATCTCATTGTGACGCGCCTCCACCAGAGCCTGGAACCCGTTGCGCTGTTGACGGAGGACCTTAATTTCGATGTCGAGCTGGCGCAGGAAGGAGGCAGGAACCTTTGGTCGCATGTTGTAGTAGTAGGCGGCGCGGGAGCAGTAGTCTTTGATCTCCTGGTTGCGCGCGACGACGGTGCGTCGGAGGTGGTCAAGCGTACTGAGCTGGCGGTTGAGGAGACCTTCGATATCGGTGCGATTGTCCGGCAGAGAGTCGGGCTGGGCACTGAGCAGATCGTACTTTGATTCCGTAGATGCGTCGCTCTTCTTGCTGTCGTTTGTCGCGGCCCGTTTCAAGGAAGAGAAGACAGACTTGAGGCTGCCCAGGCTGTTGCTGGAGCTGCTGTGTTCTGGCTCGCCACTGCCTAGAATATTCTCAGTAGAAGACATGTTTGATGTCTTACTATGAGCGGGCTTCGTTGGGGTTATTTTTGTTGTTCTTGTTTATAAATTTTCTTCGCTTGATGCGTTAGTGAAAGACATTCTAGCCGAGTTGACCTGGAGAACGGGTACAAATCAGCGACCGTCTCAATAAATCAATTGTGAAGTTTGGTGGTGACGTCCTCGCTGAGTCTGCCAAACCCAGCAAGACATTTGGGACTCTGGGGGACGTCACCAACACCAACGTTGGCGGCGTCGGTGGCATATTGCTCAATCATTGGACGCTCTGGTACTTCACACCACGTGTAGGGGACAACGCCCTTCTCGCCAAGAGGAGAGTCGTTGTCCAGGTGGACGTATCGGTTCCATCAGAGGCTGGAGAGACCTCGCAAGGCAGCCTGTTTTCGCCGGGGACACCAACGATTACTTCACTTACATCGGACAACTGGCAATAACATCGACCTAGGCATCTTGTTACAGATCTTGCCGCGATTGGAGGGGAAGAGGATCTGGATTGTCCAACAACGACTGGAAAAGGTTTGGTAAGTGGTAAGCATGGTAGTGCGTGGGCGGTGACAGTGTCGATGGGAATGAAGAAAGACAGAGACAAGGTATCAGAGAGAAGGCGATGCCAGCGTTGTTTGCTGATATCCCGAGATACAGAGAGAAGGGAGGAGACAATACGGGGCAAGTGAACAATGTTTTGTCTATTCGTTTCACTATTGCCGTGGGCTTCAGGCAGAAAAGATCCATCAACCCGCCGATGAAATAGTGAAACGACGGACATCATATATCCACAGTGCCGAGCGACGTCCATACCAGGAAAGATGACGGTGACGACTCGACGAACAGTCAATTACCCTCGAAATGCTTAGTTCAGCCCCATCCTGCCAATGTCCAGCTCGTTCTCTCACTGCCTTTCGTTGCTGTGGTGCGTTGTTGATGAAGAGCACCAGGATCCAGATCACGATGCGCTCCAGCCAGTCCATGAGAGAGGAATCTCTCCCTCTCGATCTCGACAAAGGATTTCGCCTTCAAACTGGCAACAAGACTCGCACCGGCCCAAGGTCCGAGAGACTCGACCTGTCGCAAGACGGCAGCAACAGGCTGGTATGCATCCTTCGATTTTTGTTTGAAGAGCCGTGCTTCAACAAAGTCATCGGCTCCGGGAGGGTTGACATCGTGCCGAGCATCAGGGGCAGCAGCTCTCGCTTGAACAAGCTCTGCAAAGGTACTCCGCTTTGCCTTGATATGCTTCCCTCTGATCGGCGTCCATCCGTGCTCGCTGATGATGGAATTGGTCGTGTCGAGCACTTGTTGTGACAAGCCTGCCACAGCCGAACCCCTGCCTAGGAAGATGATCCTTGACATGCAGATACTCCGGACATCCGACGATACGGTCAGAAGCGTTGTGTACAACAGCTGACTAATGGATTGTTCATGATCGTCCCTGTGTTCTTCGTTCTTTGGCGTTATTAATGTGTCGAGAGATGCCTGGCACAGTGCCTGTCTGGAGACAGCGATGGGTCGAGAGCATGTGTCAGTAGGCCAGTCGATCACCATGCTTGCTGCGTCATGGCCAATTCCCACAGTATGTTGTTGGTTTTCAAGATTCAAAACTTTTGTCCTCGCTGAGAGATCGTCTTGTGTGTCTGGAAGCAACGCATGACATGCACCAGCGCGGTCCACAAACTCTTCGACAAAGTCAAAATCTAGCACAAGTGAATCCCGAATCAACTCGTCCTGTTCATTTTTGACACTCTCCAACAGTTCTCCAATCTTGATTGTCAAAGCCTTCAAGGCACGAACACTCCGGCGAACATTTATTTCGCGATACTCGTAGATTGCCGTAATCACCGTCTCCTCCCAACCAACCTCCACCACGAGACCCGATCGCAAACCCGCTCCAACGATGGCCATGGTCGGTGCGGGTAATAGTGTGATAGTAGAGTACTTCCATCTCTCGAACAGCAGCGTCAAGACTGTTGACAGCACTGGATGGGGCACTAATGAAGGCAAGACCAACACCAGCCGCGCAGTACCTGCATCCACTAACAGATATTTGTTGTACGCTTCCCGAACCGCCCGTTCCAACTTATCCTCCAGCAAACCCAAATCGACATCTTTCAGATCGTTTCTCCACAATTCATACTCCTTACTCTTAGATGCCACATCTTGCTTACGTCTTCTGAACTCTGGCAGAAACGAGCGATAATCCCCTACTCGTCGCGAACTCTGAGAGGTGAATGGGATGAAACACTGCGGGCCACTTTCGCCCTGAAAGCCGGCGCTGAGGCCGCGAGGGTCGAGCTCGATGATAATGGGATCTTCTTCGGCGCGAAAAGAGTACGAGCCCGGCGATGACTGGGCGGAGGAGAGAAAACGACTGGTGGGCGTATGAGGACTGCCGGATTGCTGGCGTGACGATGCTTCGCGGAGACTTGGGCGGATGGCGGAGGCGACGGTGGATGCCATTGCCCGGTCTTTTTGCTTGTCGTCGCCTCCACCTCCCTTGCAAGTGCTGGATTGTTTAGTCAGAGCGCGTTGCGAAGAAAATGGTTCACGAAGTTGCCCCAAGTTGCCCTGGTCGTTGAAATCTCGATAGACGCGGTTCTGCTTGACCAATCAGAAGGATGGTTTGGCTTAGTCATCACCTCATCTGCGTCAAGACTGTGCGTTGAGCATTCAATACTTCAAGCACATCGTATAGAGTAGAAGTACTACTTTCCGCATACGAGTAGTACCTGGTAACTCTCTGTGTTCTCCAGGAACGAAGGAGCCTGCCCAAGGCCCGCCGCATCTTGCAGGCATCGCTTCGTAATTTCTTTCTTACTATATCCGATGTTTTGCCGGTGCAGCAATATCAACAAATAACTCTAATCGGAACAACCCTCAGGACCCTGAAGACCTCTTCACCAGCTTCAATACCGCAACACTTCAGCGAGTAGAGAGGAGGTGGTAGATATTGGCTTCATGTCCTGATTACGCAGAACCATCCAAATGAAGAAATAGCCGCCGAAGAAGATGGGAATTCCCGGGTAAGTTAACGATGACTTCCCCATATCCTATGGCCCTTAAGCCCTAGAGTCTTTAAACAGAGACCTCAAGAGAAGTCCAGAGAACAAGAGACAAAGAAACCATTATCTCGAGCGAAATACTTCACAAATCCTGACCACTCTTTTCTACGTCAGTCTTCTGAAGGAAATCGGTAAAGGCGAACGCATTGCTCTCTCCCGCCTCTCCACTGAGCATCTGCAGAAACACTCCCGCCCGCTCCGAATCGCTGTTGACGCAGCAATCTGGAACTTCCAGACTCATCACGGCGGACAAGGTGGGAAAAATCCGGCCCTTCGAACACTCTTTTACCGTCTCCTCAGGTTGCTCGCGCTACCTATCCAGCCCGTGTTTGTCTATGATGGGAAGAACAAACCCCTCACGAAAAGGGGGCGGACCGTGTCGAGATGGCACGGGGGATGCACTGAAAGCGAGATGTCGAAGGTTTTGATTTCTCTGTTTCGGTTCCCAACGCATGTGGCGCCTGGGGAAGCCGAGGCGGAGTGTGCGATGCTTCAGCGGAAAGGCGTTGTGGATGCAGTTATGACGCAGGATGTTGACGCAATCATGTTTGGCTCTGGCCTCACATTGAGGGATTGGTCGAAAGAGACCAATGGGAGGAAAGGGAACAGCACTCCCACGCACGTCAACGTTTTGGATTTGGCGCGGGTAAATGAAATGAGCGGGTTAGATCCCGAGGGAATGATCCTGGTAGCGCTGTTGAGTGGTGGTGATTATG